CGACTTAGCTGGCGACTTAGCTGGGCGACTTAGCTGGGCGACTTAGCTGGGCGACTTAGCTGGGCGACTTAGCTGGGTATGAGTTAAACAGACCCTGGAGAACGTGGGTGAGTTCTAAACTTACCCTCTGTTTTTTCGGCCTTGCATTAACAGGAAGTGAAGCCTTTCCAGTAGAAGTTTTTGCAGCCCACTTTGCGTTCACGCGGGGGCAGGTTGTTGGACGGTTCAATGGAACGCTCCATGTTCATCCGTTCCCCTGTTGCTGTGGAACTAATCTCCACCTCCCTCTGGGTGTCCGCTTCAGGAAGTGACATCTGAGCCAGCAGGTCCTCCACCGCACGTTTACTCCACTCCTGAAAAATAAGAGTGATGGGAACCATTTCCAGAACCAGGTCCATCTGTCTAACACCACTATGAGAACATGACATTAATATATTATTGGAACATTGATATACAGAAACAGACTTATATCAAACACTAGAGACTCAGGTTTTAACCAGGGATGAGTAGAGAACATTTAGAACGTTCAGAACATTCAGAACCGTTCTGACGGAGCTCCTGATGACAACCATTTCTGAAGTTTCAAATCTCCAGCTGCCTGTTCGAATTTTTACTGGAATCGAAGCGTTGAGCAGCAGCAGTGCTGACGAAGAAGCTTCAGATGAACCGGTGTTCCACTCAGTCACGTTCCTGCAGCGTTCCTCACCACAGGAGGTTCTGATAATCATCTTCTGCTCATTCATGCTCCAACAACAACGTAAACTCATCTGCATTCTCACCCCTGATGAGAACTCTCTTCACGGTCTGTGTGATGATGTAGAGTCAACATTCAAACAAACAGCAGTGAAGATGAAAATATCACAGAGTCTGCTCCACACCTGCAGCAAACACTCTCACTCTACCACAGCCTATACTTTCTGAAGCTTTAGCAACATCTGGTGGTGAGGTAATATACTGTGGTTCAACATCCATCACCTCAGTATTTCTGTCTGAGGACCTAGTAGTACACACTCCAGTGTTCAATAGAACAGAAGAACTGCAGTATGTTTGTGTACTTTAGCCTAATGAAGTAAAGATGGTGATCCAACATGGCCGCCACGTAAGAAACCTCACTCCTTATGTTGATTATAAGGATTCTAGGGTTCATGAAACATGATCTATGACCTCACATGTGGAGACAAACACTCATCCACACTCTTATTCACACTCTTATTCACACTCAGATTTACACCTAGAACGGAGTTCAAAATTAACCTAGTCCCCATCAGCGTGTTCTGGACTGGCCCAGAGGTTACAGAGGAAGATGACACATATAGAAGAAGGAGAGCAGGTGACCAGACAGAGCAGCAGTTAGAGCTGGGAATCCAACCTGTAACCTTTTGATCTTATTTCTCCCTTGTAAAAATGTCATTAATGTTGAATTTCTATCCAATCTACCAGGAACCACTGACACGTCTGTCTACCCCATGGTCCCTACAGGTGTGTAGGTGTCCACTGCTGACCTCTCACCTGGGTCAGGAGTCCTGCACTCCGAGCTTTCTGCAGCAGCCTGTGATGACGAAGCTCCAAGTCGAGATCTTGGTTCTGGAATTGGTCCTGCTCTCTTTCGGGCTGAGACAAGACCGGACCCCACAGAACCAACACTGAGAGGATGAAGACGGCGGGACAACGTGCGTACTGCATTCCTGAAAGAGACAAAGACATGAGCTGTGAGAGACAGGAGCAGCTGCAGGTGTGGAGGACAGAGGACAACTCTTACTGTCTGATGCTCTGAGATCTGCTGCTGCTCCTGGTCCTGGTTCTGGGCTTGTTTTTGGTCCGCCTGCACTGGGTGCTGCTGTTTTGAAGCCCATGCCTCCTCCTCCTCCTGCTCGTCACATGACGCTGTTTGTTTGATTGACAGTTGACAGGCTGTGAGGCAATGAAGGAACGCAGACGTTGAAGTTAAACAAACGTCCATTAGTCCTTATTGGCTTTAAATGGAGTCTGAGCAATAAAACAATAAAAGTCAGCCACCGCAGCAGCTCCCCGCCGCCGGCGTCCATCTTCCACAAATACGACGGTGGAATGCGGAATTAATGGAGTGTTCAGAAGATTAGTCGACTTCATTAGCGCTCGCTGATTTCTCCATTAAACAAAGAGGCAGCAGCAGAGTCGCCCACTCAACATATAGTCAGAACAAACATGACTTCATCCTGCAGGAAAATCCTCAGAGAGACATTAACTGCACACAGTTACAGCTGTGACTCACAGTGGAAGACCAAATGTTTCACTTCACATCAAAGTATGGATGCAAAAAAAGTTGACGTTTTCCAGTGAGCGGTTTGGACGAACAGCTACCTCTGCAGACAGGAAGCTGGAATTTCATTTAAACCTCAGATCTCAGCCTCACCAAAACTCATTTGGTCCAGTTCAAAAACTTTCCAGCTGATTCAAAAACCCAGGTTTTGACTCCATTTGACTTTGCACATCTGGATGTCCAAACAGTTTACCATAAGAATAAAGGACGACTGGTCAGTTCTCCTCAGGCGAGGGATGTTGAAGGATGATTTAGGGGCAAACACAACAGAAATCAAGGAGTTAAAAACAACACAGTGTTATTAAAGTGTCAGGATTAGTTTGGCTACGTTAGCCGTGTCATCTGCTCCAATGATGGAACCTCAGAGGTGGAGCAGCAGATGTTTCAACATGAGGCAGGAGTGTGCTAACATCATGCAGGCCATAGTTGGAGGTGTACGGCACTGCAGAAGAGTGGAGCTCCACCTCCAGGATCATCCACCTACAGTAGGAGAGCTGGTGGTCAACTGGTGGTCAACTGGTGGTCAACTGGTGGTCAACTGGTGGTCAACGGTGTCGGTGCGGTTTAGGGTTAGGGGTATTATTCTAAAACCACTGATATTCACCAGGGGTGAACAGCAGTGTATCAATATTTAAAAATGAACAATTAACATGCAAATACAGTATTCATGGCATTGGTTCATTTTTGTGTTGCATTTAAATCCCTGACTACAAATGTAGATAAATATCATTCTGCGTATAGTATCGCAGTATATTGCGATATATCGTATTGTTGCCCCTGTATTGTGATACGTACCGTATCACCAGATTTTTGCCACAGAGGACACTGGTCCCCACAGAGGACACTGGTCCCTGTCTCTCTGCTCTTCCTCCTGAGCTCCGTACCATGTGGAAGTTTGATTCTGTGCTGGACTCATGAGCAATCCATTAACAGCAGTTTGTTGCCATGGCGTCACATTAACAGCAAGCAGCTTTCACTAAGGAGCTGCTGGCATGAAGACACACACGCAGACAAACACATGCAGGGGCATGATGGGAAAGTGATGACATCGATCATCCTCCCCGTGATGCGTTCAGTGTTTTTGTTTCCACACTAAGTCAATGAGTTTTAATGACACTGTGAGTGATTAACAAGTGAAACATCCTTCAATCCCAGGCCACACATTTGAATATTGTTCAGAACAACAACAACAACAACAATAAACTACACTGTAACAAACAGAGAGAAACACGAGCACTGCACCAACCTGCTGACCTGCTGACCCCTGAGTTTTAAAACATGTTTCAGATGACCAAATTAATACTGCAAACATGAGCACTGCACCAACCTGTCTGCTGACCCCTGAGTTTTAAAACACGTTTCAGATGACCAAATTAATACTGCAAACTTCTCAAAGGAACATCGCCCCCTGGAGAGCTGTGAGAAAATGTCCTGTGACTAAAAATACTAAATCAACTCTGTAGGTTTTATAACTGATGAAAAGCCTAAACTAGGAGGTTAAAAAAGGATAAAGTACTAGAATACAGAAGAAAACTAAGACACTTCCTTAAAAGCTTCATGCCGAACCATAATGATAATGACTGACCAATCACAGCACTGCTTGAGGTCGAAGTTATTCTAAAACCACTGATATTGGTTTTAGAATAAAACCAATATCATTTCTGGCAGGAAAATGATTTATTTTTAATTAAATTAAAAATGTTAATTTTCTTAACATCATTTGTTAAGAAAATAATTTATTTGTATTATTTCTATTCTTAAAATGTTATTCCCTTTTATTTATATGGTATATTTTATTAGTATCAGTGATAGAAACATCTAGTCCTTGTACGTATACTATTTCTTATGTTTTGACTGTTGGTTTCAGTAAAGTTAAACATCTTCAAACTTAACTAAAATATCATTATGTTGGTTTGTCAAACTCTCAAAACTGATGATCTTATTAACCAAGACTTTTTTTACCCTCACTAAGATTAAAAAAAAAACACCTCATGAGAATCCTTCAGGGTCCAAGACCTCATCACAATCACTCAGTAATAAAACTGGATTAATTAAAAAACACGAATGGTCACAGAGAATGAGGAAGAAGGAGATTTCTGGTGTAGTGTGATTGTGAATGGTTGTACTGTACCTGGAACTGTTGACTTTTTTGTTAGACTGTCTGCCTTTACCCAGGGTGGGAGGGGTAATGGAGGGAGACAACGGGCGAGAGAAGGAATTAGCCCGGGAGAGACACAGTTGGTCTCATCCTGTAATTGTGCGTCTGATTCACGCTCGTTTCTGAGAGCGACAGTACACAGTGAGTGAAGTGAGTCACTGGAGAAGGCAGGTGTCGAAAATAGTTCTGCTGCAGCGGCTCGTCATCACCCGCTGCTGCTGCTGCTTTGTCAGTGTGTCGACTCTCTGTGACGTCACTTCACAGCTTAGTTTAAACGCTGCTGACAATATTTTCTTTGGAAAAAAAAAAACAGCTGTAACCTTTGACCTCTCGGCCTTTTCTAACCTCCTCCTCCAGTCTGAACCTCAGCGGTTTGATATTATTCATAGGTGTAGTTAAAGTCGACTGTTCTCTCCACCGTCTCCTCACTGCACACAGTCACCTGTGTTAGAGTCAGGAAGTACCAAACCGTCCCTAAACGCTTCCCATTCCTTATATGGCAATTTCCCTGTGGGAACGTTCCATGTGCAGAATGGAGGAAGGGGAGAGGCTGGAGAGAGTTCTCAAACACTGGTTTCTTCACCTAGAACGTGTTTTTTGGTTTAAAACAGCAGCTAAATTGATGTGAGAAACTTGAATGAATATTTGAAATATTAAAAATTAATAAATAAAAACTGTCAACATAAATGACGGTCTTTTCTGTAATTCTTTTTCTAATTCTAATAAATAAAAGAAAAATATTTCACTAAATAATAGTAATACGTGTGATTAAACTGAGAACAAAAGCACATATCACTTTCTTCAGCAGTTTTTATTTTTTGTAAAAGTGATTTCCTGTTTTAGACAAACGATTTTTTTATGACAAATATTTTCAATCAAAGTAAAAAGTATTAAAAAAACATTTAAATACACATAAATTCGTCATTAAAAAATGTGGTACTGCCTCGGCACAGGCATCTGAGTAAGTGCGCCCTCCTCGGGCTAAAGATTGTATAGCATGTCAAGAGGCATAAAGCACAGTTATGAGTAGGTTGTATTAGTATTTCTATATGTAGAGGCAGTACTACAATCATAGTAAAACTAGCATTTCTGCGATTAATTTTAGTTCTAGTATCTGCAGTAAAAGAAGATGAAATTAAAAAACACAGACAGAACATGAAGAAATATAAAATAAACAGTTTCTGCAGTAACAGCACTAGGAGTAATGCTGTTGCTGGAGTCACAGTGACACACAAGTACCAAATTTTATAAATTCATTATTTGATCAGCAGTAAAAGCAGTACAGTAGAAACAATAAAACCTGAAGTTCCTGAGTAGTACAAGTTCCGTGCCAGTAATGACAGCACCTTATCTAGTACCTGTACTTTTTCTCCATCGTTTTGTACACATTTTTCTTTCTGATTCTAAAGTAGAAGATGAGAAGTCTAGATGTCAACCAAAGTGAAGTTTTACAAAAGTAATGTGTTTGACCAGGAATATTTATGTAAAAAATCTCTTCATATAATTTGGCAATAGCTCTGAAAAATACAAAATTATCTCCAGTATAATCAACAGACAGGTGAGACTGTGGGATTGGTCCTTATGATAGGTCAGGGTTCAGGTTTGGTGCTGAATCATCAAAGTATCTCCAGGAGAGGACAGTATAGAATTCTCTACTACAGTGGGACTTCAAGATACGAGTTTAATCCATTCCACAAAAGCACTCGTATGTCGATCCACTCGTATCTCAATAGGATTTTCCTTTAAAAATAATAAAAAACCCATTAATTTGTTCCAGCCCCTCCAGAAATATACTATGAATTAATTAATTTAATTAAAATTCACCCTTATCTAATCATCAAAAACATAGATATAAAAAATATATTGTTAACTTGAAAAATGTTTTTGGGTAGCCCCCCTGTATTTGGATTTATAAACAAATTAATAATAATTTCAGGCAAAGATTCTGACTTTTTCCAACATTCAAACTTGGTGAAGATATAACAATAGTAGAGGACTGACTGTGATCAGACCAGCAGGTGGTGCTGTTCAAGGTCAGCTCAGAGACAGTTTTCTGGACCACGACAGCATTGTTAGCACCTGTAGTGATGTCACTACTGCGTTCACAGCCTCTTCATACAGACTTGACAGCGGCTGATCAGACTCACGGGAAAGTCTCCCTCCACTGTCTGAGGCTGTGGCTGACTGAGGGCGAGAGACATAGACATGCATACAATATTCAAAAAAAGAAAGCGAGAGAGAAAGACTCAGTCTCACATTGACGACATGACACATGTTTCATTAGTGAGATTTGAAACAACAACTCCAGGTGTTCACAGTCTGTTGCAGTCTGACCCAGTTAGTCAGTTAGTAGACCAGACGAATGACTGTTTGGTCGTTATCTCCTCCACAACTGTAGGTGCATTACTGCCACCTACTGGCTAGACTGTGTGCATCAGTGTTAGCTGCCCTGCCAGAAATGAAGGAACTGAGAAAGGTGCTATTAAATGAGCTATTTTTCCAAAGTGTTTTTTTCTCTGTTTTAATTAACCCAACTTCATTATCTAATTAAAACTAATAAAAAGTGAATAAATGAACACTACTACAAAGCTGACTCAGCACAGGGCCTTAGACTCATGTGTGGACAGATGGATGCACCGGTGAGAGAATCTAGTTTGAATCATAAAATCATAAAAATCATCTTTCAACTGAAAAATAAACACGTTCTGTGAACTCATGACCAAATGAACCACAACACAGTCTCTGATCCTTGGAGTACTGCTCAGAGACCTGTGTAGAGCCGTGACTCCCAACCACAAAGTACTTGTTGTCCTACCTGAACATGTTGCTAGGGTCCAGGGCGGAGAGCCAGTAGCTGTACGAGTCAGCGTAGTAGTTGCAGGTTCCCCGGCCGTGACACTCGATGAAGGGAATCTTCCGGAAGTGTTCCAGACAGGATCCAGGTGAGACCAGGGGCTGACCTGAACCCTCCGCCCCCACTCCTGTTTCCTGGAGACCAATATCCAGGTCAACGACAGACACAGGAGTTTTTCAACAGTTTCACATGGAAAATGGTTCAAAAAGTCAAAACCAAAAACTGTTCCCACCATTACGAAGGAGTATCCAAACCAGAGACGATCCCAGCCTGATGGACAATCAGGGAGAGCAGTGGTCTGACTGTGGACCGCTATGATGTTGGCTCTGGCCTCACACACAGTACACCTGTGACAGTACACACAGTACAGTTGGAATTATACAGTACACAGTACACCTGTGATAGTACACACAGTACACCTCAGGTTGGAGAAGCAGATGTAGCGCCTGTGTGTGTCTGTATTACCTGCTGATGTAACTCTGCAGTAAATCTCCAGTGATGGAGGTGTCGCTGCTGGGCATTGTTTGGTTGGTGGACAGCCAATAGGAGTAGTCATTGCGCGAGGCGTATCGACAGGTATCATCAGTGCTGCAGAACAGGAAGGGCATGGTGGTGAAGCGAGGTAGACAGCTTCCCAATGTACCTGCAGAGAACAAACAGTCACTCACACTGTCCTCAGAGTACTACTGAAAATAAACGGTACTAGTCTGGTATAGACCCGGTCCCTGAACCCTGGTTGTGCTGTTACCCAGGTCCTGTCCGTGAGCGCGGTTGTTTCCATTGATAAACAGCAGAGAGTATCCACTGTACACTTCTCTGGAGCCTGCAGGGCATGATGGGATGTACAAATTCTGACTGTGTCTGGTGAAAAGGAAGCCGTCCTTCTCTGGTGGGTTTCCATCTGAACCTGGACGACCCATGGCACCCTTCACACCAAGTGAACCGCGTGGACCCAGAGATCCTGTTATCAGATTCAGAGCCTGAAATATTTGTGATTTGCGTGAAATGAAGCAGATTTAGCTTCTCTATCATCCATGTACCTTTCTGTCCAGACTGTCCTCTCTCTCCCTGATCCCCTTTGCACCCAGGTCGCCCCCCTGGTCCTCTGACACCCAGTGGACCCTCAGCACCTTTGACTCCTGCAGCCACAAAACATAACTCTTTACCAGAGTTTTACCTCTTTGTATAAAATGGTCCAGCTCTAATCAGCAATTTCAAATCCACCTGGTAATCCTGCTCTCCCCTGAACGCCCGGGGGTCCTGTCTGTCCTGGTGGTCCCTGATCTCCAACAGGACCTTCATTTCCTGGAATCACTTGGACTGTCTGATTTGTACTCAGACCTCTTAGACCTGTGGAGGGCAGTAGACAGTAGCGGGATGCTGCACTGTGAATGGACAGTTTTCTGTGGATGGGGGGTGGGGAGGGGGGGGGGGGGAGCGGCTCACTGAATTACCGCTCTGTCCAGGGGGTCCCCATTTCCTGGAATCACTTGGACTGTCTGATTTGTACTCAGACCTCTTAGACCCGTGGAGGGCAGTAGACAGTAGCGGGATGCTGCACTGTGAATGGACAGTTTTCTGTGGATGGGGGGTGGGGAGGGGGGGTGGGGAGCGGCTCACTGAATTACCGCTCTGTCCAGGTGGTCCTGGTGGTCCTGGTGAGCCTGGTGGTCCTTGTGGTCCATTGTCTCCCTTCAAACCTAAGATGAACAGAGGAGTGGGAGTTTACAGTTAATAACCAAAGTGACTGCTGACGTACAACCACAGACCACTCCCCTAGACTTCGATCATCTAGACCCAGTAAACAGTACACTGGCCTTCTGACATTTCTTACCCAAAGGTCCAGATACACCAGTAACTCCCATGTCTCCTTTTTGACCAGGTGGACCATGACATCCATCCTTTCCCTGTCACCCGTGGCAACATCAAAGTTACATCACTGAATTGGACGGTGTGTTTCTAATTTCCTGCTAAGTCATGAAGAAGTCTAAGACATGTTTTTATGACTTACTCACCGGTTGACCTTGAGGACCAGGATCACCAAGGCAACCGTGGGGGCCTGGGACACCTATTGGTCCCGTGTTTCCCTTTTCTCCTTTATAACCAGGGCCTGGAGGACCTGGAGGGCCCTGGAAACCTGAGGGACCTATAAAACATTAAACACACCCTCACTCAGACAGTCCATCAGGTCTTGACCTCCTGACCAATGTTGTATGTGTGTGACTCTCCTCACCTTTTGCCCCTTGTGAACCAGAGACTCCACGTTCACCTTTTTCACCTTCCATACAATGCCCTTCACGTCCAGGAGCACCTGGAAGTCCAGGGTGTCCAGGGAAACCAGGGCAACCTGCATCTCCCACTGGACCACTGGGACCAGGAGGCCCCAGTGGTCCAGCAGACCCCTGCTCTCCGGCAGGACCTGGGGAGACAGTGATAATATAATCTAGTTTCATCGTACTAATTAAGAATCAAAAACTGAACTCACCAGGTTGACCTTTAATCCCCTCTGGGCCCCGGGGTCCTACTCCAGGAGCTGGGACGAGAAAACATATACAGGGCCAATATTTGATTCTGTTCTCACTTTGATAAACACTGCTCATCTGGTGTGATGTATCTGCACAGGAAAGATCCTGGATTCAGATCTCAAAATCTTATCTGATCAGGTCTGGTCTCATACCACCAATGCATCCTTTCTCTCCAGGAGGTCCAGGTATCCCATCTTGTCCTTGGCTTCCTCTTGGACCAACTGGACCAGGATCTCCCCCAGGTCCACTGTTCCCTAAGTAATGATGAAGCCACAGAGTTAGAGAATAGACACTAGGTTCTGAAGTTCTAACGTGACTGAACACAGTGGTTATGTACCTCTGAGACCTGTGAGTCCTGGAGAACCAATCGCTCCTGGAGAACCATCACTTCCCTTTTCACCAAGAGGTCCTGGAGGACCTTTGATAAATAAACAGACCTATTGTCATTTCACATCATAGACCATAGGTATGGTATCACTCCCTATTCACCTTGCTACTCTACAGCCCAACATCCTTAGAACCACACCTCCATACCCCCCTTATATTACTGTATTGTTCTCTGCAACAACCCTTGTTATAGGTATGCAGCCTCTTTGAGACTAAATCCCAGGACTTCCCAGTAGTCAGTCAGAACTGAAGAAGCCCCTTGGATGAGAGGTGAAATGTCTTCAAGAAACCTACTTTGTCCTGTTGCCCTTAACAACACGACTTTTAGATAAGATGACCTGGAAGACTGAGAACCTACACAGACATGTTCACATCATCATCAGACTATTTATAAACTAACTTTAGTTTAGTTGAACTATGTAATGTCACAGACTTCAACCACTTCAGCCCCACAGTCGTCAACCTCCGTCCAGTTCATATTTGTCTACTGTATATATTGAGAGTATTAGATAAAGCATGAACAGTAAGGACTCAGACCACTGCACCCCTGAGGACCAGGGTCTCCTGTAGGGCCACATGGACCATTTCCTCCCACAGGACCAAAGTTCCCAGGAGCTCCTACATTTCCCTCTGCACCTTGAGATCCTGAACATCCTAGATCACCCTGAGAGAACAAACAGAACAAGACATGAAAAGTGGTTCTAGCTCCAGACAGACTGTTGATCTTTGCTTATTATGGAATACCTTCTCTCCTGCACTTCCTTTGTATCCAGGTCCAGGTGGACTTGATTCTCCCTTAGCACCCTTAGGTCCTACCAATCCTACTATTCCATCTCGACCCGGTTTACCAGGGGGACCAATGGATCCTTTTTCACCCTTAAAACCTGCAAAAAAAACCCCCAAAACATCAGAAGATAACTGTGTAAAAAAAGATCTTTTCTTCTAAACAAACAGAAGTTACCTGGTTGGCCCATCATCCCTGGGTAACCAGCAGCACCGTTGGGACCAAGAGAACCATTACCTCCATTTTGGCCGGGCTCACCAGTAGGTCCTGGGACACAGACAGGTCTACTAACTGCTGATCTGAACTCTTTTCATAAAGGTTACTGAGATACAAATGAACAAACACACACCTTGTGGTCCCACGTCTCCAGGTAAACCATGAAGGCCATCAGGACCTGGAGGTCCATGGATTCCACTGTCTCCTTTCACACCAGTGACACCGTGGACACCTGAAGGTGAGAATGGAATCAGACAGACAGGTCACAGATACGGTTCAGTGACAGCTTCATGTTTTGGACAACAGAACAATCCATGAACCTGGCTCTCCATCATCTCCAGGATCTCCATTTGATTCAACAGAAGTTTGGGGTCCCTGAAGTCCTGTTGCACCCTGAGTCCCCTGAGGACCCGGAGGCCCCTGAGACCCTCCTATTCCATCAGTGCCTGTCTCACCTGGGGGACAAATGAGGTGAACCTTTTACTGATGGATGGATATCAGATTTACTTATTTTTGGATTGTTTTCTTATTTGTACCCCTAGGTCCAACTTGTCCAATTATTCCTGGTTTCCCACTGTCCCCTGGTTGTCCCAGAAGTCCAGGTGGACCTACATCACCTGTTATACCTGTAATACAGAGGACATTTACACCACAATGCGGTCTGTGACATCATAACGAGACAAACTTTAAAACGGTGAATCCAAATTTCCTCTTACATTCAAATCATATTCTGCTAACTTTCCCATCAGCCTTTTGCGGTAATACATAGATATGACCACCCCTTACCTGGGCTACCTGCCCCCCCATTGGTCCCTCTTTGCCCCTTTAGGCCAATTCTTCCTGCTGGGCCAGGAGCTCCATCATATCCTGGAGTTCCAGGTAATCCTGGAGGACCTTGGGCTCCCACACCTGACAACCCAGGGTCCCCTTGTACCCCTTTTGGGCCACAAACCCCTGCAAAAGAAAAGACAACAGCCAGCACAGGTGATGTGTTTCACAATGCTTAAGTACATTTTCTTTCTTTCTTAACCCACACACTTCCTACAAACAAGTTCAAGGTTTTAGGGTAAATACCTGGGAATCCAATGGGACCAATCTGTCCACGCTCTCCTTTAGGCCCAGGATCCCCTTCCAAACAGAGTCCCGTTGAACCCATGGGACCATGAACACCATCTAGACCATTATAACCTGAGAAAGAGTCCAGTTATTAAAAAGGTTAAGAAAAAGTTTTCAACAATGGTTTTAACAAACGTTTTTAAACAAGCCACCATTGGGGCCCGGTGGTCCGTCTTGTCCTTGAAGTCCTGGGACTCCAGATGGTCCCTGAGGTCCAGGATCCCCTTGGGGCCCCAGAGAGCCTTCTTCTCCCTCAGGACCCTGTTGACCCCCCTGTCCCATGTAGCCAATGCCCTGCTCTCCCTGTGACCACAAACCAGAAGAGCATCACAACCAGACCTCAGACAAATGTCACTTGACCAGAGACACTTTACGTCCTTCCCTTTATCTACTCTACCTTAGGTCCTGGTATTCCTGGAGGTCCAGAAGGCCCCTCTCGTCCCTTAATACCAAAACTTGATCCACCTGGAGTTCCTGGAAAACCCTTTGCTCCTGACACAAGACAAAACAGTGAGACTTTTCCAATATGGATCCTTGTGTATTCTTCAGACTGTTACAGAACTGACCCTTAATCCCTGGAAAACCAGGGTAGCCTTGAACAGAATGACCTTTGTCACCCTTTTCTCCCTTTAGACCAATGTGTCCAGGATTTCCTGGAGGTCCAGTCATACCTGAGGAGAGGACACAGCAGGTCAACATAAAGAGATTGAACATTCTCCATTGTCACATTAATAGAATAAGGCCACACACAACAGAAGAACATGAAGATGAACTTCTCCTACCCTCAGGTCCTTGAATTCCAGAAAGACCCTTCTCTCCTTTCTGCCCCAGATCACCAGGAACTGTCCTGAGTTCCCCTAGAGCACCTTTCTCACCTGAGAAGAGCAGACATCATCTGAGCTACAATTCTGAGCCCACCCACTCCACGACCGCTCGACTAAACAGACTCACCTGTACTTCCAGGAATTCCAAGCTGTCCTACATTTCCCACATTGCCTTTTGGTCCTGGGGGTCCTGGAACACCAATTCCAGGAGGTCCTGGAGGCCCCCTTTGTCCTATCAGTCCAACGGGACCACTCTCTCCAAGTGGTCCTCTGTCACCTTTTTGTCCTGGAGGCCCCTGGAGAGCAGAGAAGACAGATGTTATCATCATAGATGGAGGTCCTGCTCCACAGCATCAGGTCCAGTTTGGACTTACTGGGTTTCCTTTCTGTCCTTGAACTCCTTTTAGTCCAATGACTCCCGTGGACCCGTCCTTTCCTTTGACTCCTAGCAGACCCGGTTTTCCCGGTGGGCCTTCCTCACCCTTCTCTCCCACCCTGCTCATGGTCCCTGGTTCTCCAGTAAGTCCTGGGGGACCAGGGACCCCTGGGAAACCGTAGGTTCCCTGGAAACAGACAGTATAAGAAGTTCTTTTTTATCAGATTTTCACAGAGTAAATACTTTTAGGAATTATTTTTTGTATATTTTTTGTTATTACTTCTCTTATATTTGAATGTATTTTTGTGGGATGTAAAGTTGTTTTTAATTTTCACCTCCCAGAGATCATGGTAAATAAATCAATTTTCTCTGACATTTAAATTTAAGGTTAATTTATTTTTTGGGTGGAACAAAACCTAAACAGCCTACCTGTGGACCGGTTGACCCTCGGTGACCTTTGATCCCTTTGTCCCCAACACTTCCTGGTAAACCATCTGAACCTAATGAAACAAAAATATAACACAGGTGACATGGGACGATTCTGTTGTCCAGACCAAAGTGACATGGCGGTGGAAGAGTCTTTGTGCCTACCTGTCGGTCCAGGTTCACCTGGTTCTCCAGGTTTACCAGGGGATCCAGGCGTGTCAGAGCGAAGACAAGTGAAGCAGGTCTCTCCCTTCTCACCTTATGATCAAAGAACCCATCAATCAAATAGATAGTTCTGTTTTAACAGCAGAGGCTGACTGTGCCCCCTTGTGTGAGATTCACTGTACTCTTTTTCATTGACCTGTGGAGAGTTTGGTCACATGGTTCCAATTGTGATGTTCACACCCTACAACACGTTAGTGACCTTTACTGACCACTTGATGCCAGTCACTTTAACAACCTATTTTTCATTTCAGCTACTCACCCGCCTCACCCTCCTCCCCTCTGCTCCCAGGAAATCCAGTAAAACCAATTTGCCCTTTCAGACCTGTAGGGCTGGGGTCTCCAGGAACGAAATCTGTGAGACAGAGGACATCACGTTTATCTTTTATGTTTTTGTTTGTCTCTGGTCAACTCTTCTGTACACAAAAACATCATGTCAAACTGCACCCCCTGGAGGTAAAATGAAATAATGACGTCCTGTGGGACGCAGACACACACAGAGTGAACACAACACTTTGCTACCAACACTCACCTGGTATTCCTGGTTCTCCTTGCTCTCCCTGTCCTCCAGCAGCTCCCGGGACTCCTGTATTTCCTATTGGCCCCGAGACAACAGGTCCTGGTTCTCCTGGATCTCCTTTGGGTCCCGTTGGGCCCGGGTGCCCCTGTAAGCCCTGGGGTCCTGCAGGAGCTGGAACTGAAAGAAGAGGAAATTTCTTTTCAGTAAGTTTTCAGTTTAGCAGAAACAAAACAATACAGCAATATTATTGACTGTTCAGTACAGACATGTACTACAGATGTATTGGGACAGAAATGTATACTATTGTCATTAATTTACACATTTTTAAGTTGAAAACATTTATTTTTTGGTCCGGACCTGTTTCACCCTGAAGTCCAGGAAAACCAATAAACCCTGGAGAATAGAGAAAGGAAACAATTGCTTCTTACATGCCATGATATTAGAACATTTCTAAACTGTACTTTTTACATTTGTATTAGATTTAAAATTTTATAGTTTTAATATTGATATGCTACCCTGTTCTCCTGGTGGCCCCGGGAATCCAGGGATGCCAGGCATGCCACGAAAACCTTTCAGGAATCTGTGGTTCCAAACAATCTGATGAAAACGTGTAAACATGGATTAAACCACAGAGACACAGAACCAGAACTTTACCAAGTCAGAATGGACGGTGGAGTCATCACCTCTCCTGGAAGACCTGGAGGACCTCTGTCTCCTTTCTCCCCCTGAAACACAAGCATTCACACAGGACAAAAAGCAAACGTTGATGAAGATGATGAATTATTGTCATCATCTTCATCTGTTTTTACACTGTTCTCACCTTGGTTCCATCAACACCTATAGGTCCGAAGAACCCAAGATCTCCTGACTCTCCCTGCAGAAACAGAATGGATTATTACTGATGTAAATCCTTTGTTTCCATTTACATGTTCAGTTTATCATCAAACAGCAGCTCAGTCACCTGGGGGCCCAGCTCTCCCTGGACACCCTCTTTACCACCTTTGCCCTGAAAGATAAACATTATCCGTTTGATGTCAGAGCTTCATGCTGAAGACGTTCATCAGTGCCATGTGTCAGAAACTAAAGGTCCGTTTGGATCACGTCTTCTCTCTTACCGGTGGACCAGGATCACCTCGTTCACCTTTGACCCCTTTCACCCCGTGTCTCCCAGGGTTACCCTGGAAAGAACAATTGAAAGAAAAAACACATCAACAAATGATGACAAAACTGAGGTTTGAACTAATTTGGATTAATCTGCACAGACTCACAGGAGGTCCAGGACTGCCTTTCTCTCCAACTCTACCTGGTTCTCCCTGAAATAAGGACAGGGACAGATGGACAAAAAGTATGGACTGGGGTGCAAAAGATTTAGGCTGCTGTATCTTATTGCACAGCTTTTCTTGATCCAGTATTTGAAGCACATGTAAAGAACCAGCAGATCATGCTCTTCATTAACACGGAACATGTTGGATGTTGTTAAGAACAGACCTCTAATTCACTGAAGTTCCTTTAAATACAGTATTTGACAGAGCAGAAGTGCAATTTTTCTCAATAACAGTACAGTGTATGCTACTGTATTCTTTGGTCAGTTATTTTTGACTTGCCAAGATAAAATGCTTTGACCTTTGTCATTTTCAGGGATAAGTGAAGTTGAGATCACTACCACTAGAAGAGTTAAAGTATTTGAACCACTATACAGTACTTCAGTACACAGACCTTTAGCTCTTTGGGTCCTTCAGCGTACAGTTTGATCCCTTTGGGACCAGGAATCCCTGTAGGTCCACGATCACCCTTGAACACAGTGAAAGCTAAGGATGATGATGATGACGATGATGAAGATGCAGAGAATGATGATGACAACAATGTTTGGCATGTTCCACAATTCACATTCAGTTACAGGTGGACACAGCACTCTGTGTGGCTCACCTTCTGTCCTGGTGGACCCGTGGTGATAGGTCTAGAACCTTCCAGGCCCTGGAGCACAGACACAGTTTCATCAGGACTGACCTCACATCTACTGACACATCATTTAGTCACAGGAAAAGTTTAATCCATGGGGCAGTTAAGGAGGAGCAGTTTAGAGAAAAAGTTGGTGACGTGGTGTAACAGTAGAGGAGGTAAAAGATAGGGTGGGACCAAACCAACAGATAAGTTCAGCATTACTATTAACCTTCTCTCCTGGTAAACCCATCAACCCTGGAATACCCTAGACACACAGACACAAAGACAGTGAACAGGAGAAAACAGTTTACAGAAATCATTTTGCTTTATTGAATACTATTTGGACATTATTCTTTTTTAAAACCTACAGAATTTCCTGGTGGTCCATGTGGTCCATGAAGACCGGGTGGACCTGGATCACCGCTCAGACCCTGAAACAGAAAAACGTTGTTTTAAAAATTTACTCCCTGTTGGGTTTAAAAGTCCCCTAAAACCAACCCTTTCTGACGAGGCAGAAAATATTTCCACAAATAACTTTATTTTCGTTCAACAACCTTTAATTCTACTCTAACATCAGGAAACACCAAGTCAGGATGAGGATGGTCACGTCTGCTCCACCTTTCCTTCCTGCAGGAAGGCCTCACCTCCTTCACCTGTCCCCTTGTGTTCCCCCTCCACCCCGATTAGCTGTCATGCTACACCTGTGTCTGTCTCTTCTGTGTCTGGATCTGTTCAGTCTCTGATCTCCATACATCGTACACCGTGTTGTTCAGTCTCTTTGTTATTTGGTGAGGACACTGCAGTGTCCATTACTACATGTTTACACTGTTTGGGTTCAAATCTCTGGCTTTCAATGACAGACTAATGTCAGGATAGAATTCCATAGAGACACAGACCTTCTGTCCTTGTGGTCCTTGTTTTCCGTGTTCTCCTTTAGTTTGCAGAGCGGTCACGCAGATGTGCGTGTCTCCCTGTGACCGGAAAAAAAAACCTGTTCTAAACAAATTTCTGAACATTTCACTGACAGAACAAGAGAAAAAAAAAACCAAACCACAGACATGACAAGGTCCAGGAGAGTCCTCTCACCTTGGGTCCTCTGAGCCCTGGTGATCCCTGAAACACATCATCATCAAACAGGTGCTCTGACCTTTTTCAGACCCATGGCTCTGTTTGCATCCGACTAAATGACTGACAGATATTCAGGGAGTCAACATGACAATGACAGCAGAACTTACTGGAAAACCAGCAGATCCAAGAGGTCCAGGGAACCCCGGACATCCAGCGTCACCCTGGAAACCATCAGTCAGTCAGTTTGCCAGTTACAGTAGTAACAGAATAATGATGTCATCAATGATGTTTTGCTCCCATTGTTCATTTTGTAAGTATTGAACGAATGAGTGAATGGACGTTTTAATGAAACATATTCATCAAAAGTTAATAATAAGTTTTACCAAGAGCAAAACAAATCATCTGCCTGGCAACAACTGATGTCACTGAGCACATCTAAAAAGGTTATTGGTTGATCACCTCAGGCTCACTTGTACACACCACATGACATTTTACTAATTTTTTCACTAAAAAAATGTCCTTTACTGTGCGGGAAAATTAATCAAAACGTCAACATCTTTACCTTTGTCCCATTGCATCCTGGGAGTCCTGGTAGGCCGATGTGACCTTCATGTCCTGGAAGTCCCTGAGAGATAATCCTTAATGATCAAGTGTCAAGTAAAAATATGTAAACAGACGTCACAGTTGAGAGCAGTCGATCATGTGTCTTATACAAACTGTTCCCCATACAGGGTCACATTAAAATATGATGTTTTTCACTTGTTACCGGGAGTCCTGGAGGGCCTGGAAACCCTGGATTTCCTGGAAGACCCTAAGAATACAAAAAAAGATGTTGACGGCAACTGAAGAGAACAGTACTATTTAAAATATTTGAAAAGGCAGCCATGTTTAACATTCGTCATCATCACCATCATCATTGTTAGTCATACCCGTGAGCCTTTCAGTCCTGGATATCCCACAGCTCCCTGATCACCCTGTCAACAACAACAACAACAACAACAGCCAATCACTGTTGACAGTTCTTCATTTTATCTTGCAAACATTAATATTAGTACTATTATAACTAGAATACTACAACTATTACTACAACAACTAATAACACTACTGATAATTTAAAAATAAACTGTTTTTATTTATTAATTCACTTGTATTTACTATTTTTTAACCTTTTGTCCAGGGAATCCTGAAGGACCCTCATTTCCAGGGTAACCAATCATTCCTGGAAGTCCACGCTCTCCAGGTAAACCAGGTTCACCCTATCAGAGACAAACACAGTATGTATGTTCAAGTCTCATTGACAGTATATGACCCGGTACACAATCTCTGTGTACTGTATAAAAACCCAGTCTAAAAGCTGAAGTCTTGGTCCAAAGTCTCTGACTTAAACTCTACTGTGGTGAGACCTCAAACTCTTAACTCCTTAAACACTAAGTATTGTTCGTTTCCCAGGTGGTGAGCTGAAGTGACGTCAGTCAAAACACTGTCGCAAAACAGGGTCACCTGGTGTCCACACGAGGGCAGTAAACTCATCTTAATCTTCATTCAGGTGAGCTCAGGCGTGGTCGACATGCATTTATGTCCCCTACGTTCACCAGAGAGGAACCATCTTTTCTTCTTCTCTTTACGCTGCGACCAAACACACCTGAGATCACTCTATTTACACCTGGGTGGTCTCAGCACCAACACGTTAGACTTTAAGAGAGTTTAGCTAAAGAGTGGAGCTGGAAGAACAATTTAAAACACTCAAAGAAAGAAAAAACTATTTCAAGGAGTAAAACAATCATTAAACCCTTTAACACTGTAGATTAGTGGTACAGTGTGAAGACACAGGTTCAGTGCCCTCACTTCTCTTCATTCATTCACTCTGTGGTTCAAGGGTTGGGCTTGTGATCAGAACAGCAGAAAAGTTCAACCCAGTGCTTCTGTGAGTCCGAGGTAAATCACTGGGGTGGTACACAGATGAGTAACAACGACAGAGTAAAGTTTTCTGACAGGGTGGGATTCAGCAGTTATTTTAAAAAATGAGACCATGATAAGTCTCATTTCAGACTATAGGATTTCTGTCCAAGTCCAAGGCTTTTCACCATGAGCATTAGTACAAATTAGTACAAAATTCTTATTTAATTAGGTCTTATTACTTACCTTTTGCCCTTTGACCCCATCACAGTGACAAAGTGACTTCCCACTACAGTAACACACCTGTGGAGAGAACACACAGGTTAACATCCCCATTACAAATAGTGAAGTTTGTATTAGTGACAGAGATTCTTCATTTTTACAAACAGGGTCAAAGGTTAACCATACTGTCTGTCCACACATGGTGAAGTTTTCACACTGACTCCTGTCATTATCCACGTGACGCTTTGACCTAGAGGTGTTTTTGGTTAAAGAAAGGTAAATCAATGTACCTAAATATTTAAACTTTTTTTGTGTCCCAACAAAAACATTAAAACATGCAGCTGAACATTTAACCCGTCCTCCACATCAAATCCATATTACAAAATAAAGAGTTATGCTGATGTCTGTTGTGTCATGTTTGTTGTTGTTGTTGTTGTTGTTGTGTCTTCTGCTGTGTAACTTTAACCCAAACACCTTCTGTTTCATGCAGCTGTTACTGTGTGATAAACGGAACCAGCAGTCGTCAGACAGACATGAAGGTCTGCTGTCCTCTTATCTTCCATCTTGTCTTCACATCACACAGAACGCCATCATTGTAGGACGAGCCCTGACGTGTTCAGCATGGTGGAGATGTTCTACTGACTACACTGTGTGTGTGTGTGGATGCTGAACAAAAGGCAGGATATGAAAGAAAGACTTTTGGTCTCTTTCTCCAGAATATCACATCAGATACTTCTTCTCCAGATACAGACACAGTCTGGCTCTTTGTATGTTGTTTTTGGTGGTTGTTCAAATAAAGGTGGTTTTTCTCAGACCATGTCTACTGTCACACTAACAAATCACTAACAAAGTTGAAATTGGGGGTAAAATCAAAAATGTCTGGGATTCCATCTCTACAGAATGGTGTAAAATAAAATGCATTCATTAAAATACTTTCTGATGCATCAAAGGTTGTACAGATATTTGATGTCATGTCTATGGAGGCTGCTATGTTGGTTTAGCATCTTTTAACAGAAAGAAATTAAATGGTGTTTAAACAGTAACTGAGGTTTGTAGTATGTTCTTCTACTGGTTCAGTGCAGTAAGTCACATAGTTAGCACATTATAGTCACACTACAATTATAATCAACAACATAAATAATAATAGTAAAAATAATTAAATGAAAAAAAAACATAAATGAAACCTAAAGAGTTCATCGTGTTTTAAGAAAACAGTAAAATCTTTACTGCTTCAAAAACATAAATGAGAAAAGGTGACATACAATTGTTTTTTATATTTTTCTTATTTTGTTATTTTCAATACTCCTCCAGCAGATAGCGCCCTGGCTGACTAATGGCAAAAGCCAGCTGTGGTTAGATATATTTACTTGATTTGATTTGATGTTTACAAAACCAAACCTGACTCTGCTGATGCTGACTCACAACAATCATCACTGTCACAAAAATTCTGTGATTCCACGGTTTGAATCAGGTACTTTGTAAATCACAGACTGTCCTGCAGAAGTTTAATTAAACAAACAACAAACCATTAAAGTGTGTGTGACTGCGATGATGGTCGTCAGCAGTGAGAGTCCACATGCATCTGCACACATTTGGTGTCACCCAGTAATAACATCAGCTCAGGAGAAAAGACCAAAGCAGACAAACTAAACCAACACACAGAGTCAGTGACTGTGACAATGTTCACACACGGAGTCATGTGACACAAGGTCACGCAAACGTGTCTACTTCACAAGGATAGTTGATAATGAAAACAAAACAGTAATTGAGATGTCAGGAAAAAATCAATCTATCAATTGGGGGCTTTAAAAGAAAACAACTTCTTAGGAGCACACATGGCTTCCACGTGTTGTCTTACTGAGAGCAAGACATTTTTGAATGTGTAAAATTAGAGATTAGACATTAGTAGCTGAAAGAAAACAATATATCAAATTTGTTATATGGTCTGATAGTGTTAGGTCATAGTGTTAGCATAGTAGCTCAGTTTTTTTCTACATTACTTGTTTTGTATGCCTTTATAGATAAGCTGAGAAAAGAAAGCCAAAATAAAGATAGCTTAATATAATGCCTATATTTATTGATTTACTGATAATATAGTACATACAATACTGTATATCTAAAGGTTTGACCTAAGCTAAGCAACGCTGAGTCCAAAATAGTTCAGATACAGTCTAAAATAAATTAGACCTAGCTTAGCTTTTAGCCTTTTTGGGCGTTTATTAGCTTCAGGTAGCCATATTGTTGGCAAAAATCAAGGATTTTCTTATTGATTTGGTTTACTTAGTTTCAGACTGACCCATTTTGAACTCCATTTAACTTTATTGTAATATTATATTTTATTATATAGAATTTTATACATAATTTTTACATTACACGTAATGGTTTGACATGCAACAAACTTTTAAAGTAACATGTGATTGTCAGTTTGTATTTATTTGAATAAAAAAGTGAATTGAATGACATTTATTCTTCTTGTGGAAGCCAAACATAAGAAGCATATATTTCAATAATTAATTTATATTTAGGAACGTTGGTTTTAGGTTGTGTGCGTGTGTTTGCGAGCGCGCGCCCGCGTGTGTATCAGTGTGTCATTTCACTCACTCTCTCCCCGTATCCCGGAGCTCCAATGCACCACAGCACCACCAGGAGCAGCAGCAGGGTTTCAAACCGCCTCTGTTCCCTCGTTGTTTCCATGAAGTCGCTCAGTAAGGTGTAGACTTTCAGTCAGTCAGAGACGGATGCGAATTTTGGTTCTGTTCGGTTCGGCTCAGTTCACACCGCAGGAGTCTATGCACAGACCCCTTCACATCAACCTGCTGCAGGATGGAGAGGCGCGTCGAACCAGGACAGTCAAACCCACGGCATTTACTACAACGTTGCCGGTCAACTCTACAAAGTAAAAGCTTATTAATACAGCAACGGATTGTCGCTACGTTTTACGTCTGACCAATAAATTGACTGTTATTATTATTATTTCAGGTCAGAACATCAGGTCATTAACATGCAGTAATGTATGTATGTAACATGCGGTAAAGTAATGATTGAAAAAAGAGATAATTTGATTTGAAAAATACTAAAATTAATTTAGTGTCAGTAACCCAAATATTGTCACAATAGAGTGTGAGCCAGGATTTCAGTTTTTATATTCTCAATGAAACATTTCCCTTATCTCCTTTATCATATAGAAAGATTGATACTTTCATGTTTTCTGAGAATGGTAAAACGAAGGAAAATATATTTTAAGGAACATTTAGTCACAAAAAATGGCCAGAATCCAACAATAAATTCAAAGAATTGTTACTAAATAAAAGTGACAACGGTTTATTTTTATGCTCATAAATTGAGAGAAGCAGGGTTGATTGTGAATAGACAATTATCGTCCAAAGATGAGGAAAAACGTTTTACTTTGAAGGTCCTGTCTACCAAAAGGCGGAAGTGTGTGTGCGTGTGTCTGTGTGGCTCCAGCTCAGTGAGAGAAAGTCGACACTTTCTGTTTGTTGGTCTTTGGCATGAAGAGCGCGTGAAGCTGCGGACAGAGAGACTTTCAGGTGAGATTTACCTGTGCGTGTGTGTGTGCTTGTGTTTGTGTCTTCGTGTGTACATGTAAATAAACTATTGAGTCACAATTTGAATGGGAATGACGGGCTGATTGATGAAGGTCAGTGGTGAGACAGAACTTCATCTTGACTCCAGCTCAGCAGCTGCTCTTTCAGCCTCCACTGTATTTATGTGGTTTTTACCTGTTCTGTTTAAAGATGTAAAATAATTTCACATTTGTTCAGTTTGTAGATTTTCATCAAGTAACTCTGAGAATCATCATTAGGCTGCATCCTTTATATGAAGTCTTCATTCATTACAGCCAACAGTTACTCAAAAGCTCTCAAGACTTTGAAGTCAACATAATTGTCTTCTTGGCCCAGAGAATTTCAGAACATTTCTGAAACATTGATGTTCCCCATTGTTTTTGCATTACACAGTATTAATGAATGTATGATTGATGACAGAGCAGCGGACTGTGCTCAGCACATGACCATGTTCAACATGGTCACTAACTGGGCTTGGAGGTCACACACATTCAGCAGTAGGTTGCAGTCGTGACCATTGTTTCACCTGTTTGTTTTGATACTGCAGTAGACTTGCTGTTTATGTTACAATCACGGTCTTACTCTGTGTCCCCAGTCTCCTTAGAGGAGGACCACCAACATTACACCATCAGTGGGTCCTCATAGAGGCGACTGAGGGCCGTCGGTGCGGGACGAGATGCTGCAGCCTCCCTGCTGTAACCGTCACAGCTCCACATGGCTCTGGTAAGAGATTCTTCATGCAAACAGTAAAAACACACGCAAATTAATATGATCGTATGTTTGACCCTCCTCCTCCCCTCCTCTGTCTCCCCCAGGTGTCTTCTAATGATCCTGACGACTCTTCCCTCTGTATTCGGGGTGAGTCCAAGTTCTAATGTATTGCTTTATCATTTTTTAAATGCACATTTTAGAATGTCCTGGTGGTCATTGGTTAAAATGCTCTGAGCCTGTCCTGGTTCACCAGTACTGATGAGGTGGGAGAGATCCACTGTGAAAAAAGAACTTAATAACTAACTAACAGATACCTTAGCATCAGCCCTGGGACGTAGCGGTTTACCACCGGTGTCCTGCAGGTGGAACTTGTCCTTCCTGAGTCTGTGGTGTCCCACAGCGATCTGCCCTGAAACCTCAAGCTTTCTTATGAGGTTGCTTCAGGCGATGTGGAGTAGAGAAGAGCAGAACATCTGACTTCTTATCAAACTTTTTCCTTTGAGCTGCTTTGTTGTCTCCTTTGCTCAGAATGAAGAGTCTGTCAGACAAAGATTAATCAGTCAGATTAATTTTAATGTTGCTATTGGTAAAAAAAGATGAGGGACAATGAGAGTGAAGCCGTGCTTGGACCACAGCAGATGATGGAGAAGACGGTTGGATGTATAGCGATAGCCAAATTCCTGATGCAGATAACCACGCCTGACTGGTAATGTCGTTTTCACAACGCTGCAGGAATGTGACTGCTACAAAAACATGTTTCGTGCTGGGAAAGTCAGCCTCTGGGGCCCGTGGAGAAAAAGAACCGTCATTACATCCATGCAGAGCCCCAACGTGGTGGTGACAGGGGTGGTAGTGGTCATTAAATGAAGCTTCACCTGCCCCCCCACATCATCACCTGACTAAGAATAGGAAGCATAGGCAAATTCTAATTTCTTCACTTTTTTAATCATCATATAAGTTACAACATTATATATACCATCATACTGTAAATGGAAAGTAAAAGGAGTGAAAAAAGGTACATATGTCCTGCTAGGATTTACTTTAGCTAACTAAATTGAGCTAATGTGAGACTCCAATTGGTGCAAATTGTGAGTTCCCAGGAGTTTCTATATGTAGTTTGGTTATTGTGTATTGTTGTACGTGTGTGTGTGAGAGAGAGAGATAGATTGAGTGTTGGTATGAGTCTGCACTCCTTCGCATAGACAATTTCTGTATACCTGACAGCAGTTTCTGCATCTGTCTACATTGTGTCACTGTGTTTTTGCCTGCTGGACCACCTCTCGCCACAGCTCTCTCATCCCCAGTCTCATTATTGGGTCTTCCATGTCTTGAGGTCAGCCAGACCCACTGCCTCTGCCTCTCCACCAGTCATCTGCTCATCATCTGGATTTATAAGTACAGTGAAATGTATTCACACAATACTACATTTTACTGTACTTACCTTCACTCCTGTCTGTGTTCTGCTCCTGGGTCCACCCTGCTCCATGAACTGGGACCAGATCATACAGTGCTACGGGCGTACACCTTGCCAAGTCACATTTAATGACATCAACACAACAGTTATCACAAATTATCAGTGTTGGTTTACTCATCAGGAACAACAGTGAATTTAGGAACATTCCATGCCATCATTCCACAGAAATGTTTGAAAAAAAAAACAAAACAACCTAGACTGGGGCGTTGGACACATTGGTGGGCCCTGTTTGGAAGGCGATTGTCTTGGAACTCCGAAGACAACTATCTTTGCATTAATCTGAGACCTGGTCTATCTAGCCTAGATCTCCTGGTATGTGAACAAGTTCATTCTTCTTCTCTGCTGTTGAAGTCATACCCAGCCTCGGAATCTGGGTCCTGTGCAGTAAACCCTCATTGATGACCACATGACCCCCATCCACACTGTTACAGGACTTGAACTTGTACATAGTATCAGGTCCTTGCTCCTTGTTTTTCTCTGGTGGCTCTTTACCTAACACCACTTTGACCCAGATGTGATTTTTCCACTCAGAATCTCTCTGTGATCTCAGCTTTATATGTCAAAGGAGGGACACAGGGACATTTATATTCTTATATTATATTGACTTGAAGAAAGACTTTCCAGTCTGAGTGAAAGGAGTAAAATGAACAGACTACAGACATGGACCTGTGCACGTGTTGGAGCTGCAGCTGCAGTTTCATATCTGAGAAACTGCATCAGTCAGACGATTTTAGGAATCAGTGGGTAAGAAAACCAGAAGCATGAATGGCACACAGGTGATCTGATAAACACACAGACTGTCAGATGTTTGTCTCATGCTTACATTCCACTTAAGTCAACACTTATCTCCAGAGTCCTGACCAGACATGACAGTGGCCCAATGATTCTGTTTAACTGTGTTGGTACAGACCCACTGGCACAGTGTTCCACACTGACGTCACACCTACGTGGTTCTCACAGGTCTGCCTCAGTTCTGATGGACCAGACCACGTGCTAATGAGGAGGAGCTGAGTCTGCGTTTACAGTTGATCTAATGTGGTGTTTAATGCATGTGATGAGTAGTCTTAGACATTCAAGGATAGAAAACAAAGAGAAGATGTGAAGGCAGAGATAACAGTAACAGGACAGTCATGATGTCTTCTTTATTTTCCAGGGTTACCAAACAGAACCGTGTGGTGGACGGGACTGTTCCACCTGCCAGTGTTTCCCCGCCAAAGGAGTGAGGGTGAGACCAGTCAGAAAACAGCTGCAACATGACATCGCTCTCTTAAAAGACCTGTGACACCTTTACTGTTGACTCACAAAACACACATGCACACAATCAGAAAGATAAAGGTGCAGTAGTTCTGTCCAGGGTCACATTCATAATACAATTGGTTAGAATCTAAATAAACACATCACAAATAATCAATAACCTGATAAAAACAAATGTTGTAAGCAACAACGACTGTCTGTGTGTGAGTGTGTGCCTGCATAGGTGTGTGTTTAGACAGCTGAGGGCAGCAGACAGGCACAGTGTATTGTAGGAAGGCGTCTGTCTCAGTGATTTCACAGTTCAGAGGTTTTAGAGAAAGACGGACAGAGAAGGGATCACAGCTGTCACATCTCATCACACACACACGCACACACACACACACACACACACACACACTCAGTCCTTAGCTCGACTGAAACCTTTGGACTGACAGTGGCCCAGACCATAAATAAGAACTGGACACAGACAGCTGAGGTTCAGGTGGTGGCTGCTTAATCAACTGATGTGAATCTCCAGACAGCTGATTGGTCAGTCACTCTGCTCTGGATAGGTTGGAACCAAGTCTGCAGCCACAGTGGCCCTTTGTGGAACAGTTTACCACCTCTGATCTAAGATTTAATCTTGTGCGTGAGATTGAGATGGTTGTGTGATACTGCACTCCTGTGGTCATATTATGTTACTGCACTAGTTACACACTGCCTCCCTCGCTAAGGTTTTGTGCTAATGAGTAATAATCCTTCTACTCAGTAATTATCAGAGGTGAGTAGAGTAGCCAAAAATTGTACTTAAGTAAAAGTACTGTTACTTCAGAATAATATTACTCAAGTGGAAGTAAAAAGTAGTCATCCAAATAATTACTTAAGTAAGAGGAGAGTTTATCCCATCAACAAAATAATAAAACAAAACAAATTAATTAAATACCTTAAAATATAATAATCTTTAGGTACGTTAAAGTACTTAAATAAAAAATATAAATCAATTAAGTAAAAAGAGTACATAAAGAAAAATTAAATTACAGCACGTAGCAAGTAACAAAAACTATCAAACCTCTGGACCTGTGGACAAAAACACGTCTTTGAGGCTACAAGCAGATCGAGCTCAGCACAGAGTACTCATGTAACAGGGACAAAACTAACAGGACAAACATTCGCCTATCCTCAGCAAAAAGAAAAAAAAAGATTTGTAGGTCAAACTTACCGCAACGTGTTTTCACAGGTTGGACGATGAGCTTTTGAAAGCTGAAATATCCGTCTGTTTGGTCGACACAGAAGACGCCGCATGATGAAACTTTTCGCACTGTTTGTAACGTAAACATACTCCCAATATGAGGCCGGGGTGTGCCTTCTTGTTTCTGTCAGCATTGCTGACCGTTGATTCTGCCATTTTTGCTGTTGTTGATATTGACCACTAAACTAATCCGTCCCGCCGCCGAGATCGAGTATGGTCACGTGACGAGACTGCGCAGAAAGGGCTACATTTTATTGGTTACAGTCGCGCGGTAGAGCCTTGGGCGGCAGTAACTCTCTGACAAAATAAAAGTAGAGATACTGGATCGTGGATCTATAGAGAATAGAGAATATAGCTAAAGCTTTATCCAGTATCTCTGTAACGAGTAACGAGCTCAGTATAGCCTAATGTAGCGGAGTAAGAGTACTGTTCTTTCTTCATAAATCTACTCCAATAAAAGTAAAAAGTATAGTGATTTATAACTACGCCTAGAACTATTTTATTTTGAAAAACCTACTCAATTAAATGTAACGAAGTAAGTGTTACCTCTGGTAATTATAAGCAGGGTAGTTAAGGTAGGATTAAAAAATGTTCCTTGATTTCCTGCAGGGGGCTCCAGGGGTTCTGGGATTACAAGGCCAACAGGGGATGCTGGGCTTCCCTGGCCCTCAGGGGCCTCCAGGGGAGAAGGGCCACAGGGGAGCTGAGGGATGGACTGGAGCACATGGACCCAAAGGAGATGTGGTGAATACAGTTTAAAGATGATGATTTTTAACCAACCACCACCTTCACCTGGTGACCTTCATCATGAGGGTCATATATTGATGTCTTTGTCTGTTCTGTCAGGGATATGCAGGGGTCGTTGGTTTTCCAGGGTTAGAGGGTGTTCCGGTAAGAAGCTCTAACTCCATCGGCCAATCGTTTTATTTGACTGGATCAGCTTCACTGATGTCAGGCTGACTGTTTCCTTTTGTATGTTCAGGGTCATCCAGGTCCAGCTGGAGGTCCTGGTTGTCCTGGTTTGGATGGATGTAATGGAACAAGAGGACAGAAAGGAGAGTCTGGTCTTCCTGGGGAACAAGGCCTCTATGGAGAACCGGTTGGTTTTCAGTTGTACGATTACAACAATATACAGTATACTGGTTAAAATGGGTTTCGTTTAAACTGGCTCAGCTGTTATCTTTTGGTTCAGGGTTTACCAGGACCAAAGGGTTTTCCAGGAGATCGAAGCGATTGCTGTGTACCTTACCCTGGACTACCTGTGAGTACACCATACTTCACATACATGTTCACACAAATACTTGTACTATACAAAATACTAATAGATAATAGATAGGTCTTTCTTTTTTTAACTAAATAACGGTCAATGTGTGTGTGTGTGTTTGACAGGGGGACGTCGGGTGTGTTGGTCCACCTGGACTGCAGGTGAGAGCAACCATTGAACACATGTATAATGTAAACTATAACTATAAATACAGGTCACTAATTAACTAGTTAACAGTAGTTAGTGTTCCACCTTTTCATGTATCATTAATGGTTTTCCTGTTTCTGATTTTTATTGAAAATATTTACTGTCTCTCTCTCACCCTCTCTCTCTTTCTCTCTCTCTCTCTACTATCATTCTTCAGGGCAAACAAGGACGTCCCGGCCTCATTGGTTGTGTGGGTCCACCAGGATTGGACGGGGTCAATGTAAGTCAGTCTAATGTCTGATTGACATTTTTATAACCTAATAAATGACACAGTTAATATGGAGATCACCAGAACTGTCCTCTGTCTGTGTGTTCCAGGGTCTCCCTGGTCTGCCTGGTGTCAGGGGTCCACCTGTAAGTATGATGTGATAACATCATGTAGTTTAAACACTTGTTTACAAATACAACAGTGATTAAATCGGCAGCTGATGTTTAGTCAGAGTGATGCGTTTGTGTTCCAGGGACAAAGCGGTCGATCTGTGCCTGGAGCAAAAGGAGAGGAGGTACAGTAAGGTACAGTCATGTGCCATCGTGGTACCTCTGACTGAAGCAGTGATGTCACTTTTGAGGGGGGCTTTAGTGATCCTCCTCCAGTTTTCACACTGTAGTACTCTCTCTCACCCACAGGGGGATCTTGGTTTTCAGGGGCCACCAGGACCATTTGAGATAGTGGACCCTCCTGAAGATTTTTACATCAAAGGAGAACAGGTCTGCAGGACATCAGTCTGTTACAGTCTGTACCATGTGACTGCTGTTGGTTCTAGTAATGGTTCCATTGTTTTCTTAGGGTTCTCCTGGTCTTAAAGGAGTAGAGGGAGCAGCAGGACTACCGGTACGTTTCTGATCACCACCATGTAACTTCATTTCAATTCACATCAGCATCGACTGACAGTCTGACTGACACACTGTAGACTGATTAATATTGTTGAGGACAACAACTGGACTGCAGTCTAGAAAGAAACTCTCCACACGTTCTTCAAGACACCGTCCAGATGAACAGTAATGACTGAAATACACCAACTCTATGAAGAGACATTTTCACTGAGACTGTTGGAGACTTTTATGGACCTTTGTCCAGATTTATAACTCTATCATTTGGATGAATCACAGATAAAAACAGATGAGAAACACTGACCTCTACCTGCTCCAGAAATACATAGAAAAAACTTCCATATGTGGAGATGTAAATTAATCTGGATTACTATGATTATTCCTAATTGATAATGATCATGATTAATCACGATTATTCCACAGCTTTCCAATTGATTTTCTGTAGAGAATATCATTGACAAACACTCAAACCTGTGTGTGTTCTCAGGGTCAGAATTCAAGACCAGGAATCAAAGGAGAGAAAGGAATTCTGGGATTTCCTGGGAACAGGGTAAATAACTGAAATGGTTTAAGGATGATGACAAATGACCTGTTCTGATTGGCCAGACTCATAGAATTACATGTTACTTTAATGTGTTTTAGGGATTGTTTGGGTATGATGGTCCACCTGGAGAGAAGGGAATTAAAGTAAGTCAACACAACACAGTGTTCTTCATAATGGATAAGAGAAATATCAACACTTCTACTGTTGTAGACTGTTAGATGTTCTATGTTTTAAACATTTAACTGTCAATGTGCAGGGGTTCCAAGGGAGTCCTGGTCTGCCTGGACTAATTGGCCAAGAAGGTCCAAAGGTCAGTCTGTCTGTGTCTGTTTGCTGACCAATCAGAGTCAGCTCATAAGTCAGGGTCTTACGTACATGAACTTTGGTCTTAGTTGTAATGAGTCTGAATCTGATTTCAGGGAATTATGGGAGATCTGGGTCCTAAAGGCCTCCCTCAAGATTCAGACCTCACACACACAGGTGAAGTTCTTAGTCAAAACTTTGACGTTATTCTAACCACAGCAAGAAACAGGACAATGGAGCATAGATCTAAAACCAATAGATACTGTAGTGTAAAGTTGTAAAAGTAAAGCTTGAAGATATGATACCATTATACACATTCTGTTTAGACTAGTTCTGTAAAGTTTCTTGTTGAAAAAAAATCATACTACATATAATTGTCACAATTACACATTTAGAATTTGAATTAGATTCAGTAGGTTTATGTATGTAGCTTCCTGACCTATATGTGGTGCTAGTTACAGCCAGACTAATCCAAATACATACATAGCATATTTACACACATTAGCTGGTTATTAGTAAATTAGTGTGTTGTTAGCCCATGTATGTAGCTGTTTAGTATTATGTTAACAATGCAGTAGCAAAGTGGCCAATTAGCAGAATGTTATATGTTGTATGCTGGAATGAGTCTATTAGCAGCAGTTAGCACTGCGGTACCACAGACTGTCTGTTTTTACCTTTTACCTTACACTGCTAAATAATCCATCTGTTGACCAAACCAAACACTTTCAACTGGTCGAAAACCTTGCTGTTGTTCACAGGTTGTTTTGTTAGGGTATCCAGGGTACTAAAGCTTCACAGCTATATCACCTTTATAACCAAAGCCAATTATCGTATAACCTAAACTAAACACCTCCCATCTTTCAGGTGTAAATGGTGACCTTGGGCCACCTGGACTCACTGGACCTCCAGGAGAAAGGGGAACGATGGGAATGCATGGACCTCCAGGGGTCCCTGGCAGATCTATACCTGGTCAGTTATTGTTTTATACAATTGTATATGTATTATAAGTTATATACATATCATGCTGTTCTTCACACATCTGGTTACTGAAAGTAAAAACTTTTACAAAACATGTATTTCCTATCTTTAATGTTTTGTTAATGTTAATAAAACCAGATCAGTTTAGGGTTGACAATTGTTTGAAAGTGTTATTTATTGATTAAATCAATTCTATGTCCATGCCTGCTCAGGTCCACCAGGCTTTGTGGGCCAGAGTGGAGGTCCAGGATCCAAGGGGGAAAAAGGAGATCCAGGTCTAATGTATAAATACGGACCTGTGCTTGGAGAACCTGGTAAACCTGGACGTCCTGGACCCATAGGACCAAAGGGAGAACCAGGAACACCAGGTACAAGAAGCTCTCATTCAGTTGAGTCTAAATCCTTCATATTATTATTGTGTTGGATCCATGATTCTACTACTTTGTTTTCATCAGGTCATTACTGTCTCCCTGGAGCCAATGGAGAACCTGGAGAACCGGGTCATCAAGGACCTCCTGGGGCTCTGGGCTTCACAGGATTAAAAGGTCAAGATCGTCTTTTGTGTTTCTTTTACACCTGTCACACATTTAAAACCATTTAAATATGAGGACTTCTTGTTAGCACCACAGACTAGTTTCATGTTTGACTAGTCATGCTAGAATTCTTACAGACAGTTGTTAAGGTGCAATTTCAAAAATTCATTGTGCTCCCAGGATTTACAGGACCAAGATAAAAAACTCTCGACCATTTGATTCCAAAACAGAGCGATGCCTTAGGTTTTCTGACTGTGAATAAAAAAAAAAAGCGATGCCTTAGGTTTTCTGACTGTGATTTAATCTGTTTGTTGCAGGTGCTCGTGGAGATTGTTCTTGTGGCCCTACTATTTCAATCATGGGCCCCCCTGGTCTGTCAGGAGATCCAGGCCTTCCAGGGTTGCCTGGAGTCCCGGGGGCAACTGGGCAAAATGGAGAAGAAGGTTCACCTGGTGATGCTGGAGAACATGGAGAGCAGGTGAGTCTCCAAAGCAAAAACCCAGATTCAATCAGTTTAGTTTTGTTTTCATTAATGTTCCTACGTATTAATATGTAGGAACATTGTTCATGTTGTTTACAGGGCCTGGGAGCGTATGTTCATGTTGTTTACAGGGCCTGGGAGGGTTTTCAGGTGTGAAAGGGTTCAAAGGTCAAAAGGGAGGCTTCAGGGTGGTCAGTTTTACAGGTGAGTCCATTATGTTTATATCAGGTGAACAACCAGCTAGAAATGTCAGCCTGGTGTCATATCAGGGCCACACACACGCTGACTGCAGCCTTTTCTCCAGGTGAGAAGGGAAACAGGGGCAAACAAGGCCCTCCGGGTAATCCAGGGTTTTCTGGGAGGATGGGACTTCCTGGGCTCCGCGGCCCTCCTGGAGACCTTGGTTCACGAGTAAGTAGGTTGTTCCAGGTAAACCTAATAGTGTATTTTTGGACTTTTACATAGAACCATCTGGAAAGGACCATTAGGATATGGAGGTGGAGAGAAGGGGATAGACATGCAGCAAAGACGTCTCACAGTCAAACAGACCTACTGCTGGGTAGTGGCCCATGTAGAGTCCACCACCACAACTCTAACCTTAGTCTTCTCTGTTTCTGTTTTGGTCAAACCTGGTGGATTGATTCCAGGGTGACAGCTTCACTAGTTTTCCTGGAGACAGAGGTTATCCTGGATTTCCTGGATCTAAGGGATTACCAGGAGCTCCAGGCTCCCCTGGAGCTGATTTTATTGGTGCTGTGGGACAGCGTGGGCCCCCTGGTGAGCCGGGACCTACAGGAATCCCGGGTTTCCCAGGACCAAAGGGTGTTATTGGTGAAAATGATGGTTACTTTTAAAATAGCTACTAGATCGTTTTAATCCATTTCTTAACACAAAAAGTTTTTTCTGCTGAACTTGTGACACTCTCACCTAGGTGACACTCCTGCAAGTGTTCCCTTACTCCCCGGGCCCACAGGAAAGAGGGGGGACAATGGAAACACAGGTACAAACAGTGGATATTATCCGTTGGATCGACTGTGTTTGACATATCTTACTTTTTTGCTGTCCTTTCTGTCCTTCCAGGTTATCCAGGACTTCCAGGACCTACTGGATTCCGTGGCATCACAGGACGTGATGGTATTAAGGGAGAACAGGGGCGACCTGGTCTTCCTGGACTGCCTGGACGACAAGGTAGTACATCTAGTTAATCCACTGTCTATGAAGATGTTCTCACTAACAAACCTTCACCTTTTCTCTGGGTCTTTGCTGCAGGACCTCCTGGCCTGGTTGGAGATACTGGAGAAGAAGGACCTGAAGGCTTCAGTTATGATGGAGATCCAGGTACAGTACTTGAAGGACCTCCATTTGAAGGAATTGCAGGTCGACTTTTCAAATCCAACCAAACTGGTGTGTTTACACTGAATGTGATCCAGTTGTAACACAGTCAACACCAGGTCAAACAAACAACACGTCTTGTGTTTACCCTGCTATGTTTTGTCAGTATAATCGTTTTTTTTTTTGTCTGTGTATCAGGGTTACCAGGAACCACTGGTGTTCCTGGACTTAGGGGTCCAGCAGGAGACTCTGATGCTGGTCCCGTAGGACCCAATGGTTTTCCAGGGCCACAGGGCTCTCCAGGACCTAAAGGGGTCCCCGGAGCCCCTGGTATTAATGGACAACAAGGTTATTAGATTGAAGATTACATCTGAATCATATCCATCAGAGCCACTCTCACTGTAAAGACATTCATGGCTGTCTTTCTTTTCCATCTTAATCCAGGAGTTCCAGGTCTGCCTGGGATACCTGGACCAGAGGGCTGGAGAGGAACTGATGGAGCACCAGGGGTAACTGGTCCTCCAGGTCCCTCACCTACATACTGTGATGTAGGAAGACCAGGAGCTAGAGGTGATGTTGGTCATCAGGGGACCGTTGGACCTCAGGGTAATTTGTTTACCACTACATACATACATACATAGAGTGTATAATGTACAGTAAACAGTACACAGTATAGATTACAGTATACACTACACAGTACAAAGATAGAAACATTTACCAAAGTGGTGACACTATATTTCATTTCAGGATATCAGGGAGAAAAGGGTGAGTTTGGAGATGTGGGTCTTCCAGGTTTTGGACTTGCAGGTCCTGCAGGTAAATCAGGTCCTCCAGGTTTGCCAGGGGTTCTGGGACTCCAAGGCCCTGCTGGTCCCACTGGAAGGGTTGCGGGTAGTTTTGGGCATAAGGGGGGGGAACCGGCAGCCACTCTCACACCTGTGATTTGATTATTTGAAAAAGTTACTGGAAAATTCTGGCTGTGTCAGGTGTGTTGGGTCCCCAAGGCAAGTATGGTGGGCCAGGGCCTCCAGGTCAGACTGGACCCCCTGGACATCCAGGCACAACAGGAGAAAGAGGATTTAATGGACGAGATGGAGCTCCTGGGTGTCAGGGGCCAAAAGGAGTGAAAGGTAAAGTCTGAGTTTGGTAATAAACAATGAACGCTGAAAAAAAGAAACTTCTGCTCTGAAAGAAGCCTGATACGTGTCCCTGCAGGTAGTCGAGGTTGTCCAGGGCCTCCAGGAGAGACCACGTACATCCTTATCAAAGGACAGGAAGGAAAACAAGGAGCCGTTGGTGTTAGCGGCTTCCCTGGAGCACGAGGTCAGAGGCATGGCATTGTCTTAACAGAGCAGTCACATGACAAGAGACGTGTTAGCTGTGATATCAACAGGCAAAGTTCAGTCACCTTTTATTTTTGCATGTCTGCAACAAGTCCAGAGTGAGTCAGTCTGTCCTTGGCAGTGGCGGCAGCAGCCAAACATTATCAGGTCGCCACCCACTGGGCCTCTGACAACATTAGTTTCAGTGTTGTGTGTATCATTGACTTCTGTTATTTCGTTGCACCTTGACACGTGGCCTGTGATAATATTGTCGAACATGAAAAAGTACTCATTACTAAAAATATCAAACACCTCTGGGCTGTAGAACACTGTAAAACATTGGCTTAATTAGGATCAAATTTGAATTAGGATCAAATTTGACACAGAGATGCTTCTCAGAGTGACAGAGAGAGTCCTGTCAAAACCAAACATTCATCATTTTTAGGGGGTTTTAAGAAAGATCATTTTAATTCAATGTTACTGTAAAAACTGAAAAGTGCATTGGGACAAATGTGTTTTTTGAACTTGATTGGCACCTCAATGGTGAGATGATACTAATGGTGACTGGATTCTATTCTGTATTTTTACAGGAAACAAAGGTGTGCAAGGACCAAAAGGTAGCCTAGGTTACCCAGGAACCTGTGGTCCCCAAGGCATCATAGGGAACCCAGGATCACCAGGACACTGTGGTATACCAGGACCACCAGGATTCCCTGGATGCAGAGGATCTCCAGGACTCATCGGCTTTCCTGGGGAGACAGGAGATCCGGTAAGATCACTTTTGACGACTAGATGCCTGGTGTGAAGAAGATCTTTATATCTTATATTTATATCAAACAGGAAGTTGAGTCACACACCATTCCAAGATCAAGCATATCGTACGTTCCTGTCTATTTTGTGCTTGATGTCTATGATCGTCTTGTGTTTTTCTGGTTGTGTTTAAAGGGTGACATCGGGTTCCCAGGAAAATGTGGAGAACCTGGTCGTTATGGATGTACTGGTCAGAAAGGTACAAAGCCAACTCCACACTAAAGCACAGTGGACTCATTTAGATATGAGTCAAATATTGAGTGGAGTTTGTCTGGGATTTCAGGTGATAAAGGAGACTCTGTTGGTTGTCCTGGTGTACCTGGAGACAAGGGACCTGCTGGAGACTGTGGACCCACAGGTGATGGTTTGGTTGTGTTGATGCAGCAATGAGAAAGTGGAGTGAAGTGAATTTCTAACTTTGTCCCACTATTTCTTTTTAAAAGGGCCTCCTGGACCATGTGGAAATCCTGGACTACCTGGTTTCATTGGAGCGCCAGGACCAAAAGGATCTAAAGGAGACCAGGGTCACCACGGAGAACTGGGATCTCCAGGTAGAGTGAATCGCCCGTTTACCTGAAGCAGTAGTGAACTAGGAAAACTCTGCTGTGTCTAAAGGCTGCTTCACCTCTCACTGACTAAGAACCTACACAGGTTCATTTTTGAGAGTCTTTGTGTTTCCTGGTACAAGTGATTCAAAAGTAGTAATTGTGTATTTTGTAATCTACCTGCATGAATGACCTCCTGTCATGATGGTGGAACAAACTGCTGAGATCTCTGTCACTCTCTTTAATAAGGACCTGACTTTTGTTTAAACCACTGTCTGTTCATGGTTCTTCTCAGGTGTTATTGGCCCTGCTGGTCCAAGAGGTCGGTCAGGCTGTCCTGGTCAACCTGGCAATGTTGGAAGTGATGGTCCTCCAGGACCACAGGGCTGTGCAGGGCTCCAAGGTCAGCAATGAAATCTAAACATTCTATCTCTAAGGATTCTGTATTTGGTCTGGATCTGAGTGTTATTTGAAAAAACAAAATTCCACATTTTCTATATTGTTTTACAATGTCTTGTTAATCCATGGTTAATTTCTGGATGTTGATGTCTCTCTCGAAGGTCCTCCAGGGCCTCCAGGACTTCATGGACTGGATGGACTGAAAGGAGTGAAGGGAGACGTGGGGACTAGAGGTTTGTCCAAATCTTTTTAAGACAACAGTAATCATGTATGTCCCAGTTGTGTGTCAAAGTAGTGTTCAGGAAAGAAGGGAAAGTTGTCACTCCATCTGTCCTGGTCACAGGTCATTCTTTAAATCCTGAACAATTCTTAGAACAAAATCATACAATTGTGTCAGTGAGAAGTTTGGTAAGAATATTTAAAATTCAGTTCAGTCTGGTTCACATCTCAGTTGAATATTAGACGCTGTTAGTTTGAGGTTCAAGTTCAGGATTTGGTTTAGTTTAGTTTTGTTACAGTGAGTCGGGGGGTTCAGATCTGTTTGTTAATCCTTTTAGGCCTGGCTGAACCCGGCCCCCCAGGTTTTAGAGGTCTTCCAGGAGATAAAGGTCCTCACGGTCCTCCAGGATATTGTGGTCCAAATCAGCCTGGAGAACCAGGACTAAGAGGACCCCCAGGACCCAAAGGTCTGTGGTAATGTAACTCCCAACCGACGTCAACATCATGATTAAACCTCTAAAGGTCGGACCCTTCGCTGAAAAATCTGCTAATTTCTCACTGTTTTACTGTAGGAACTCCAGGGATTAGCGGACCCTGTGGTGACAATGGACCAGCATGTCAAAACCCAATTCCTGGCCCTCCTGGAGACTGTGGTGTTCCAGGTCCAGATGGAGATCCTGGTTAGTTCTTGATGAATAAACGTCAGTTGAAAAATGAACTCTGAAAACCTTCTAACTGAAGCTCTGCTCCTTAGGATGTCCTGGGATCATGGGAGATCCTGGTCCGAACCGTCCACTACCTGGGGATGATGGAGACAATGGAAACATGGGCTGCCAAGGGCCACCAGGGCCCAAAGGACTGCCAGGATTGAATGGTCTGCCTGGAATCCCTGGATATCCTGGAGTCAAAGGTAAATGTCTTTGTATATGAGATGAACCACAGCCATCATCTCCTACACTGATGGATGTTCTCACGGATCTGTTGTTAGGTGAGAAGGGCTCACATGGAATGATAGGTGTGCCTGGTCCACGGGGTCCAAAAGGTTGTAATGGTTCACCCGGGCCTTCAGGGCCAAAAGGACTTAGTGGAGAAATGGGTCCAAAGGGAGAACGTGGAGGAGTTCACAGCTGTGCCCCTTACCTACCCCCACAACGAGGGCCCGCAGGTCCTCCAGGCTCCCCTGGTGCACCCGGAGAGGCTGGTGTCCGTGGAGAAGATGGTCAGAAAGGACTTCAAGGTGAGAACCAAAACCTGGAGCAGATGTCCAGTTCTGAGTGTCTCATCATGTTTGAAGGTTTCTCTGCTCTGTTTACTTCTCTATTGTCTTATTATTTTATGACCTCCTCTGTTTCAGGTATGAGGGGAGATCCTGGATCTGAAGGACTGAGAGGATTTGTGGGATCTCAAGGTTCAGATGGAAACCCAGGTGTGCCAGGGTTGCAGGGGATGATGGGAGATATTGGACCCAAAGGTAAGAATCTTCTAAAGTTTTATTTTACTTATTTAATAGAATTGTTTGATGGGCCCTACAATATTACTGCCAAATATTACCCCACCCCCACTTCTGAAACATGAACAGTCCCTTTCTCTGCCTGAAGGGTGTGCTGTGTATAACCTATGTAAACTCTAAATTCTACATAAACATCAGTGTTAAAAAAAGACATAACAATTTTAACCATTCTTGGTTAATGTAATACCGTGCACTGGTCTTTGTATTAGGTAACCCTGGTCCAGCTGGAGACCCTGGTCCTCCTGGACAGTCTAGGCAGGTGAACTCAGGATACCTGTTGGTGAGACACAGCCAGTCGGGTCAGATTCCCAGCTGTCCGTTGAACATGAGGGTCCTGTGGAGGGGCTACAGTCTGCTGTACCTGGAGGGGCAGGAGAAGGCCCACACTCAGGACCTGGGTACACACACAAAAATGTTGGGATTTGAACCACAGACCTATGATCTGTTTTTTTCTGACCTCAGTCTTGTCCGTGTCTTTCTGTAGGTCAGGCAGGCTCGTGCATTCGCGTCTTCTCCACCATGCCCTTCACCTCCTGTAACAAACGCGCTTGCTCTTATGCGAGTCGAAACGACAAATCTTATTGGCTGTCGACGACGGCACCTCGTCCCAACGTCCCCTTTGCTGGGCCTTCCATTGAAGAGCACATCAGCCGCTGTGTGGTATGTGAAGCCCTGTCCACTCCTGTCGCTCTTCACAGCCAGACGTCCGAAGAACCAAAGTGCCCCCCGAAGTGGACCAGCCTGTGGACAGGATACTCCTTCATCATGGTACATACTACAGAGCAGACAGCATTTAACTTTCATTTAGTCGGGGCGACTCCACCCATTTGTGTTGTTCATAATTGTAATTTAATGTTTTTTATGCCGATTTGACAACGTAATCTGCTTTACGTGTTGTAGCATACAGGTTCAGGTGATGAGGGCGGCGGCCAGTCCCTGACATCATCGGGCAGCTGTCTCACAGACTTCAGGTCTCACCCGTTTGTGGAGTGTCAGGGACCACGGGGAACCTGCCACTACTTTACTAACATCTACAGCTTCTGGCTGACCAGAGTGGACACGAGCACCACCATGATGACTGACGAGCAACAGCAGATAGACAACATTGGGAGGTGCAGCGTCTGCATAAGAGCTTAAAGGGAATGGACACCAGCAGCGCCTCCTTCTGCAGGAGTTTGAACTGAACTACAGCAGGAGGTGAATTAAAGCTTCACCTGATGTTCACTTGATGGCTGCAGGATGCTCTCTCACCAACAGGGGGCAGCAGCAGGTACAGCATCTAGTAGATATAGGCCCCACCTCCAGATATGCACTGGCATCACATACTGATTGGTCCATGACCAACGACCACAGGTCAGGGGTCAGTATTATTTGATCAGACCAACAGAGGGAACTGTGGGACGACTGTTCTTTTTCTCCTGAACTAAACCTGTAATCAACTGTAGAGCTGTGCCAAAGTTACTGGGTCTCTTCAGGATTTGAAACAGAACAAGATCACAACCAGGATTGGAAGCAGGACCGGACCCAGGACCAGGACCAGAACCAGGAGGAGTTCTAATCAGAAGATATTTTTCATTCCATTTAGTGAAGAACTTTCTTCAGTTTTTCCATTTTATATTCAATCCATTTTTTATAATTGAAAAAAAAATCCTTAATAATAAAATGCAAATGATCAGTATTTAGTGTTTTAATTATTTATAAATTTAATACAGCAAATATTTATTTTACATTTTCATTCATTTTTGAAAAAGTATCTCTGGAAATCTTTGTTTTCTCTCTCTGTTTTTATTTTCCAATCCCATGTCTTCTCCTGGTCTCTGGCTCCAGTCCAGATTATTGTCCTTATCCATAGTTAAAAAGTACTCTCTCTGGCTCTGACTTGTAAATATGTTTGAACCACTGACTGCATGTAAGTAATGAACCGAACCAAACTTAGTCCCCAGTAGTAAAACATGTCCGCTGCAGCACCCTGTACTCCTGCTGTTAATTACTTCATTAATTTAACAGGGGTCCTGCACCACATGATGAGTCAGATCACATGTATTGAAGTATTGATTTTACAATGTGACTAGAAAGACCTGGCATTAGTGATTAAGAGCACGTTTCAGGTGAAAGAAGCCATGTGAGAAGTTGTTAGTTGTTAGAAAACAAATCACAGGAGAATTCTGTCAGAGAGTTCCTGGTTCCTGTCTTCTGTGCAGTCTTTTGTTTGAACTCATTCTTTTTATAATCCTTTGTAAATGTTGTCAAAGTATTTATTTAGCCAAAATTTCATTTGGTGCTAATTGTTTTCATCTTGGTTAGTCATGATGAGGTAAATAAAATGTCTTCTCTGTTCCCATGGTGCTTAGCAGTAAATAAAAAAATAAAACAACATTATTGCAATTAAATAAAGTGAGAAATGAATGTGGGCGGAGCATAATATTAGCTGGTGATGATGAAGAGGAGGAGGAGAAAGTGTGTAATCAGTCTGTTAAATCTCTATTATCTTAACATTGTAGTAAAACAAATAAAAACACACACGCACTAACATTTTTCTCTGTGGGAAAACAACCTCAATAAAACACTATAGACTTTCTTTACTCTGTGTCTAAGCGTGTGTTGAAGCAAACAACACTGAAACATTAATAAAATAATACATTTAAAAAACTACAGTGCTCTCACCTTTCTTTTATCCAGCGATCTGGACAAACTCAGATGTTTTTTGTCTGCTCTTTTCAGCATGTTTCTCTAAAAAGTTATTTCTCTCCATCTGCTGCTGGAGTCACCTCTGGTCATCCCAGCTCATCAGGTTCACCTGTGTTGGGGTTTTGTTCCAGAGGTGGGGCAATAAGTCAGCTGAAATGTGTTGTGTTGATTTTAAGGCTGTCTCTGGGAAACACATTTTCAGTACATTCACAACTACTGTATGGTCAGTTTAGACCAGTGAATGCTAACCTTACCTCCAATCTGCATGTTTTTGGACTGTGGTACAAACTGGGGAAAACACACACACACACACAGGGAGAACAGAAGAACTCGGCAGCTGCAGTTCAAAGCCGTGACCTTCTTGTTGTAAGGCAAAGACACCAACCACCCTGCTGTTATGTGATCCCACCAATACCGTATGTTGGAGATTGACTGTTAAAAACCAGACAATAAGTTTTATTGTCATTTACATCTGTTCACAAAGGAGTCATGTGATCCATCTACAGATACGTCAGAGCAGACAGCAGAGAACTGAAGCATGAGTGATGTCATAAGGTCTGTGATTGGCTGACTCTGAGTGAATTAAAGACAAAACTCAATTTATTTCAAATATCAAGGTATTGTTCGACAGTATGTCAAACGTTCTGTCTGTGAGACAGAAGTGCTGATGAAACTATTACTGATGATAATCTAAATACAGTTGTTTATATCTCTGTAGAATACCCCCCCACACACACACATAAACACACACATAAACACTCCTAATGCTTAAACCAGTGTTTCCCAACCTTTCTTTCAAAAAAAGGTCACAAAGTACATGATGATCTTTTAAGACAAACTAATGGACCGCGGCACAGTGGTTGGGAATCACTGGCTTACATTATGATCAATGAGCTTTAAATACACAATCAACGGAAGGAAACTCAAATCTTACCATAGTACCTTTGATTAAACCATGTGCAAAAATCATTACTAGTATCACAAGTTCCTGAAACTGAAAGTCTTTTCAGGTCTTGGAATCCAAAAAGAAGACATGAGATCAAGGTCCATTCCAAGTTAGGAATTCAAAATCCAAATGAGATTCTGAACAGTCCAATGTCCTGGGTTTTTCCTTAAATTCTACATTCTAGTTTTTTGGTTGTTTTTTTTAGATTTAAGAAAGGACATTTGGTTTAGTTTTGATGTGTTGAACAGTTAGACCTCCTCGGATCTTAAAACTTGAAGCTTTGTTCTCCTACTGGTGTGTAAGTGGACTACAAAACCTGCTCACAGACCTGCAGAGTCAAACACGTCCAGTACGAAGCTAACGGATCCTCCATGATTTTCCCTAACTGAGAGAATCAGGACATTAACCTGATTAAGTTTTCAAAACTTTTCCTAAAAGAGAAACTGGTCACAGTACTGGTGGATTTCTCCAGCATTGAATGTTAAAATTCCAGTTACAGTTTTAGCTTCAGAGGCGTCTTGACCAGAACCCTGAGATCAGGTTCTTCAAAGAACCTCGTCTGGGTTTTCCTGGACAGGTGTTCTGGTTTTTGGGCGGCGTGGTCGCAGCGAGGAGAAGCAGGATGACGCCGTGAGGGCGATGCGACTCATGCCCAGGTTCAGGCAGTGGGCCTCGGAGGTGACCGGCACCTCGGAGAAAAGGGCGCGGTCACGTGACATCTGCGCTAGGCTGCTGCCGCCATCGCTGCTCTCGATGTCCTTGACGATGTTGAGGATCTCCTGACGCTCCCTCTGACGAGTCAGTCCTCGAATGTTCAGAATGGCCGACACGTGCTTCTTCCTGAGCAAAGGAAAAAACATAGTCAGGTTCCATAAACCTAACTGCCTGGGAGTCGAACACAAACCAAAGAATGTGAATGTAGCACAAAACGTTAAAACAATGTAAACAAACATTGTAAACCAAGGGGACACAGTTCTAACGATAATGTATTCAAACCTCAAACTACTAACTCTATGGGGAATTCTCTGCCAATACTCCAACATGTTACAACAGATTTAAAGTATCAAAAACGTATTGTTCTGCAGTGAAGTGACAAGAGTCTGATCACAATTGAAAATATTTGTAATAAAATTGGTTTGTTATGAGCCTCTGGTCAAGATGAGGGTGCACAGGAAAAAAAATCATTCAGGCACAAAACTAAACAGCTACAATAATAAAAGAACAATTACAAAGTACCAGCCTCATAACACACACACAAACACACACACACACACACACAAACTGTGGGTTAAAGGTGACATTTCAGTGCAGCTATGTCACAATCAGAGAGGAAGGAAAGTGTTTGTGTGTTTGTGCTGCCTTCTTAACGATCACACCCACAAACACACACATACCTACAAACACACACATACCTACAAACACACACATACCTACAAACACACACACACAAACACGGTGAAAGGATATTTACATTTTTGTCAAAGTCAAGTGTTTTTTTGCAGGTCTATTTCCCAGGTTGTTCTTTAACCTGGGCTCTGAACACACTGGTCATCTGTCGAACCTTAGTCTCTTAATATAAGAAACACAACAAAATATAATTCACTGAAACACCAAGTTTAATCAGGCTAAGTTTGCCGTCCGTACCTCACATCTGGAAACTCTCGGACCAGAACTCCCACCTCCATCTGGATGGAGGGAACATCCTCCAGCTGAATGATCTCTGAGATGTGGGACAGGGTGCTGTCCAACCAGCTGGAAGGAGACTCCTTTAAGGACGACACAGGGATAAGAAACAGAAAAGACGGGAGGTCAAAGGAACAGCAGAGAATGTGGTGATTAACCTTCGACCTGTACACTGACCAGGTCTTTGAACAGGACTTTGATCTGTCGGCCTTCATCCCTGAGTCGTGCAGCCATCCTCTTCCTCATTTTTGCGGAGGTGCAGATGATTCGACCTCTCATGACGGAGCGGAGATATTCCATCACCACGCGGCGGTGGATCTCTGCCACCAGTGACTGAGAGAGAAATGCAGAAAAAGAGTGGATCAGCCAGAGGCCCAGGTCCAGGTCAGGTCTCAGGGCTAAATGTCCCACATGTTGGTGTCCTGGTGTACCTGGTACGGAGGACTGTCCATCCTGTGAAATTTCTTGAAGTGATCTTTGATCAGAGTCTCAATCTGCTCGTATGGCTCTGTGTTATTGAGCCACTTCCTCTTTACCAGACGCTCAAAGAAAGGCTGAGACACACACACACACACACACACAGAGTGTGAATTGAAGTTAAATAGTTTCTGCTAGGATGTTGTCACATCATGGTCAAATCAAAACTGTTTGATGAGCACAGGGTGTGTGAGTGTGTTCTTACCCTGATGGCCAGGAACAGTCTCTCGGACAGAACTCTGACTCCACAATGGGGTCCAGAGCTTTGTTGGCTCGATGCAGGGAGTCCTCACTGACAGACGGGTCACACTGGGCACAACGCTGCACAAATCCTCTGTGCACACAGATACAAACAGAGTCATCATTCTTAGATAGTCCTATTTAGTTTGTCTTTACTGTACTCGACCCAGTGCTTCATAAAGTACTGGCCTTGTGTCTGTTCTTACCTGAATGGAGGACAACAGTTGACCAGAGCAATGGTTTTGGACACATATCCATCATCGTTGTTTCCAAACGTCTCCGTCTGCATGGCGTCATGGAACATCTCCACTTTTCGCTGGAAACTAGTAAAAACCATAAAAGGTCAAACACTGAACTAATCACTTTTCAACACCCTGATAACAACAACTGTTCATGCACCTGTACAGAAAGTCAGCCAGGCCATTCAGACTGCACTGAGCCACTCTGGAGCCGAGACTGCGGTTGATGGAGGCTGAACGTTCTAAATCCACCTGGAGCCTCTGATAAACACACAGAAAACAATGTCTTCTGTTATTAGCTACAACAGTCCTGGTACAGACACCAGAGCTAACGTTAGCTACAACAGTCCTGGTACAGACACCAGAGCTAACGTTAGCTACAAAACCTGTTCATGTTGTTAAATATTAAAATTTGATAATCGTGTAATTAATTGTAATTAGTTAAGAAAACCACTAAGGTTTTCATGTGTTAGGGTAACAATTTGTCTTACAAAATATTTTTGGAAAATCCTCCTAAAAAACCTACAAACTACTTCACCAAAACAAAGACATTGGACCAGTGGAAGTACCAGAAGGGCAGCTCATAGTGTGTGTGTGTCTCTGTGAGTGCATGTGTGTATGTGGTGTTTGTTTGTGTGACAGAGAGACAGACGGGGACAAATATCAGGAAGTGCTCGGTGTTGACTTTGGCTGTACTTGAAGGTCAGACTCAAAAACATAACTAATGAACCCTGTGAATCTCCTTTACATAACACTGCCATCTACTGACTCAGCCGGCTATATTTAAACAGACAGGAAGCTGATGGCGGGTGGAGACTTACCTGAATGACAGTCTTGGCCAGACTGATGTGATATTCTTCAATGTGCAGACTCTCCATCCACCTCTTCTCTTCTTCATCCAGGACCTGACTCAGTTCTGTGGTCACTTTAGCCTGAAGAGGAAACACAAACACCCTTCATTTTAACATGTATATTCACTAAATACATTTAAATAAATACACATTAAGAAAACTTCATAATAAATTATGGCCTCAGAGAATCCTCTAGAACACTGAGAACGTGAAGTACCTTAAACTATACAAAGCTGTCAACTTTTACATTTTATATTTATCCTATTACAAGTTTATATTCACACAAAAAAACCAAGACAAATATAGTTAATAATACATTCAATATATTTAACACATTGTCTGTTATTGTGAACATGTGAGCAGTGGCTTCTCTTCTCTACAGCAGTCCTCCACATGACACGCAGAAAACACTGAAGTTGGTGCATGGACATCAACCACCAACAGGCCACCAACAGGAATGGAGGATCAGCTGCGTTTCTCACCCTGACAGAGTTCAGACAGTCCAGTTCTAGTCTGTCCACGGTCTCTGCAGGCAGCAGAGGACTGAGCTGGGACATGTTGAATGGACTTGTGATGCACACGGTCCCCAGGACGTCCCTGAAACAGAACAATACGATGGAGTTTAATAATCAACTGAGCTAAGGACTTCAAAATAAAAGTAAAACCTGGAGATACTAGATACTATAGAAAAATCTCAGCGCCACCCTGTGGTAGATTTTATGGTGACATGATCTGTACCTGTTGTAGATGTTGTGAAGCCAATCCAACAGAGAGTAGATGTCTGTCACCTCCAGTGGGTTGTCTGTGATGGCCTCCAGTCGCCTAGCAACTGCACTATGATAACTCTGCACATAGACCTGAAGGTCATGAAATGAAAAGTTAAACGTCAATAACCAGAAGTTACATTTTAGATCAAATGTTACACCATCTGATAAAAAATGCCCCTCAGCATTACATTTCAATGTTAAAAACTAGAAAACCTTGGAAGATCGTCTGACCTGGAAGGCCTGGTATTCCTCTGGGTAAATTGAAGCCACATTCCTGTTGGCAGCTCCCAGGTCGTCCACCACCCTAGCTCTGAGACGACCCAGGTACCCGTTCAGCTGTCCGGCAGTGAACTCTGCTCTCTGAGGCAGTGAACCATCAGCAGCTTCCTCCACAGCCTCCTTCCACTTCTGCTTCAGCTGACGAGGTCTCGGGCCCCCAGGGGCCGCTCCCACACTCACGGCCCAGTCTTTGTCGGCCTGCTCCTCTTGCTGCAGCACCTGCTCACACAAACACGCACGGGGAAGGTCAGGAACTGTGCTGATGACATCACTCTAACCAGTGCAGCAGCGGCTCTCACCTGGACCACCAGCCCCAGATTGGGCCCAGCTGTGGGGCAGCGCAGAGACTCCCTGACCACGGCCCACAGCTCCTTCTGCAGCTCCTCATACAGCAGCTCCACGTCCTTCACCTTTCTGCGTCCGCCACCTTTGACACTTGGGCTGACGCTGTCCTCCGGCGTCGTCACAGCGCCCTGCTCTGCAGCGGAAGACTCATTACACTCCTGCTCCAGCTCCAGGACGTGAGAGTCTGCCAGGAACAGGTCTCGCTTCTTCACCAGCTGCAGGATCTCAAGGACTGGGGGACACCAGGGGACACAGGACAAAGGGGTAGATGAACACCACACAGGGGCATTAAATGTTGTCCCCAACAAAACTGTCAATGCAGAGAAGAGCCCAGATCTATTCACAGTAGATCTATGTCCTTAACACGTTCTTCCTGTTAATTACAACAACCTGATGGTTGTTTCCAACACTCATTTACAGTCTAACCCTGTGAGAAGGCGAGGCCACTCTGAGGTCAGCAGATGATGTCACAGCAGTAGCATGACCACGTCTGAGTTCAAGTAAATGAGGAGACTAGACTGTGGTGTGGTGGTCAGCTCTGCAGAAAGGTGGAGTAACAACACATCCGTTTTTAATGGTATGGAACAGGAACTCTTTTTTTTTTTTTTTATTCTAGGAGATGGAATGAAAATGTTCTCATGTATTCTCTGAACTAAAGGAAGGTTCCAGAGATTTACCTCTTTTTTCTCAGAAACACAGCTCTCATTGTTCAGTTTTGGTGTTGAAGGGAAATACGTTCCAGCTGGTAGGTTTAAGCTCCGCCCACCTCCAACTATTTCCTCCCTACACACCCCCTCCTTCAGCACCACCATCAGCAGGTCTGTGCCACTGAACCCTGAAGTTCACGTTGCTGCAGCTCCACAGACGACACTGACACCTGCTGTGGACCCTGAGCTGAAATACCACGAGGTGTTTGAGGAAAACCCCCAACTGCCCTCACTCATTTACAGCCTGAACACCACATGTTCAGTACAGTCAGAGAAGGCAACAACGTTTACCCAAAGATAATAATGATCTTTGACACGTCGACATGTTTCGGTCCTGTAGTCAGGACTCAGCTTGATATTGTAGAATCTGAATGAATCTGCTGACTCAGACTCTACCTCCTCCATTTCACTGGAGTATAGAAGTGTGTGTGTGTGTGTGTGTGTGTGTGTGTGTGTTTTAGTGTACCGACTGTAATCAGAACCCAGTCTTCACATTTTTCCTGGTGTTGTTGGAGGTGAATGGCTTCTCCTTAAGACACATGACTCAGCGATGTAGCACCTGAACCCAATCACCCACAAACATTCTCACTGTGTCTTAACAGGACTCTTACTCTGTGATTCTATAAGGACAGATTGGTGGGACAATATCTGTGACTTTTAAATTCACAGACTGTGTGAAGGAGAATGAACTTTATTGTCATTGTACAGATATAAACAACAAATTCCATCTTCTGTATGTAACACACCAATGTTTAGTAGTGGGACGATGGAAGGACTGTGATTGGGTTATTCTCCAACGTTACTTATAAGCTCCACAAAACACTAATTAGTGTTTACCAGAAGAAGATGAGATGTTTCAAAAACTGATGGAGAAACTATGAAATAAAACATTTTTGTTAGCTTAGGCTCTTTTTCAAAACTTTTCACCTCCAAATATCAGCCTTTGTTGTGACCCGTCTGTCTCTCTGCTCCTGTCTGCTCCCTGTGGTTAATTAGTGTCATCACTCTCACCTGTGTCACCTGGTGCCCTGCGTATGTACACCTCTCTTCTTACGTATGTACTTTCTGCATCTGATCCTTATCTCCCCAGTGCTGCAACCGTGTCCCCCAGTAAGTAACACTTTGGTTCTAGTGTTAGATTTTTTAGTGTTTCCATTTGCAGCAGAACTGTCCTGTAAAGATACACTGCAAGATTTATTTCTGCCAGATTTTACCCACAATCCAAGTTGTTGATTCTCCTGCAGTTGTGGTTCCATGTTACTTCCCCACTGTGTGTTTCTGAATCATGTGAACTGCACCTTTAAGCCAATCACCTGCTGTTAAGAACCCAGATGCTGCTCTCACTGTTGATGGAAGAACTCTAAACTCCCTCTGATCCACGTGTCCTTCCTGTCACAGCAGAATAATGAGCAGCTGCTCCTCACACGTGGCTCCTTATGTTCCTCTGGATTTTCAGATGTGTATTTACACAGAGTCTTGGCTAAAAGTGCGAGCGTCCACCTGCAGGTAGACCCTGGTGTCCTGGGTAACACACACACACACACACACACACACCTCAGATCCTGCCTTTTATCCCTGTGACCTTTGACTCTTTGGTGTTGCTGATTATGTTTGAGTTGGTTTACGTGCGCCCCCTGCAGCATGTAGTCAATGAGTTTATTCTAGACTTGTTAGGACTTGAAATTCCTAACAGCAGTGGAGTAATCCTAATAAAGCAGCTGCTCAGAGAGAGGCAGGTGGGCCGATGGACTGAAGGCTTCAGGTTCGAGTCCACCACTGAGGTGCTCTGAGCATGGCAGCGTGCCCACACACTGCTCCCCGGGTGCTGTCACTGTCTGCAGTGGTGTGCTGTGTCACAATGACAAGTAATAATTCACTTCTACTCTGGTACAACAAAAACCCCAGAACGACAACAATAAACAAGCCACGCCTCGCTAGATATAAGAACTAATGATTAAGCTCTACTAACGATGACGACGACCTCCACTGAACTGAAGGAGTTTTCTCTAAACAGAAGCAAGAAATATTTGGTTTCACAACAAGTACCTGCAGGGTCTGCTGGGACATTACACAATCCAGCTGAACCATAGGAACAGCTCTCTCTCACACACACACACACACACACACACACACACACACACTGTTCCCTGTTGGGTTGCTCTGTTTATTGATGTTGAGGATGATGATGATCTATCAGAGAACGTGCAGAACGTGCTTCATGCTCGGCTGCTGTGCGGCTTTTAAAGTCAAACCTGCAGCTGATGAGAATCTTAGCTCTCCACACTCTCCTTGGAGTGTACGATGCATGAAGAGAGCAGGGAGAGTTCAGATGTCAGCGAGTTTACAGTAGGAAGAGAGTGAAAGGTCAGGTGTTCATGCGTGTTTGCTTTTCTCCTGCGCAGGTTTTTGACTGAACAACTGACGATGATGATCACTGACATTCCCTCTACTTCCTGTCTGATTCTTTTAGCTGTCGTCTCCTGACTGGCTGACTGACAGTGACTGAGCTCAGCTCTGTTCTCCTCCTCTCACACTGACACAGGTTTGGACCAACTGACCATGGAGGCTGTCTCCAACGACAGCAGGGGATTGTGGGTGAAATCTGTCAAAACACCTCGTAGTGTTTCCTGTGAGCAGTTCACATGGACCAGGTGTTCACACTCAGTGATGGTGTTTCACTGCTAAACACTAAATAAATGGGGGGGAGTGTTTGTACCTGCATTAGTGGTATATGTCAACACACACACACACACACACAAACACACACACACACACACACAAACACACACACACACACACACACACACAAACACACACACACACACACACACACACAAACACACACACACACACACACACAAACACACACACACACACACACAAACACACACACACACACACACAAACACACACACACACACACACACTGAATTACAAAGAGTGTGCGCAGCAGGAAGCTGATCTGCTGATAATGTCACTTTTTAAAACAAGTTCTGACCTGCTTCACAGAGGACTGAGCCCTCGTTAGTTTCTTCTCCTCACTTCACACCCTCTCTGGACATTTAGTCAAATGTTAAGTAATGACATCGACCGTCATCACTGAGGGTGCGTTCAATTTGTTTCCTGCAGTTTCCCTTACGGGTGGGTCGGCCTGCATCATATTGGATTTGAATGGTGTATTTACACATTTGGTGAAGTCATATTTACTGCCCGTAAATAAAAAGTGACATTAGTCTGTGTCATCACAGCTGTTAAGAAAATAAACACTTCAAATGACATGTGCAAAAATGTAAACGGCACAAAAATGATTTCTTTCAGATGTCAGAACAAACATTTAGTCAAAACGTTTTTCTAGGTTTAAACATGTGGCAACTGAAAGAATTCCAATATTAGAACTCCTGATATCGTCCAGACCTCCAATCATTTTTATCTGCATGTCATATATGTAAACAAGGGTGTGGAGGAAGTTAACAAACACACACACACACACACACACACAAACACACACACACACACAATCTTGACCAATCATTCATTAGGAAACAAAGTAAACAGGCTGTGATAAACAATAGACGCCCTTTAAAGAGTTCCATGAGTGACAAATACTTCATCTTAACTGCCTACACACACACACACACACACACACACACACACACACTTCCCAATGACATTCCAGTGTTGTGGAAACTCCTGGAGAGTCCCGGCGTTGATGACGATCTAAGAACCCTTGGTCTCAGGTTCTACCAAGAACGCCAACTCTACGTCCTCTACGTCCACTACGTCCTCTACCACCACTCCGTCCATCGTCTTCTTACCTGACAGTGGTTCTCTGGGCTTCACCTCCTCCACCACCTCCTCCTGCACCGGCGCCTCATCTGCCGCCTGCGACGCGTTGTCAGTCATCGATTCCCTTTTCAGCTTCCCCCGGCCGACCATCTTCATGAAAGACACTTTGCGGCTGCTGGAGTCGCACTCACTCCCCGTGAAGTTGCTCTCACCATTGAAGGACTCCTTGTCTCGGTATTTCCCCGCAAATCTGCAGAGAAATAAAAAAAAAAAAACCTCAGATGAATCTCAGATCCTGTCTCGTTTTCCTAGTGTTTTAACTTAACCTCACCTGAGCAGACTTCCTTCGGAGCTTCTCCTCCCTCTCTTCTTCTTCTCCGTAGGTGAAGGTGTGTCCTGCCCTGACCCCTGTGGGGAAGGAGTAGTATTTCCTTTGCCTTTTGCTGATGCCCTCAGTGTCTTTCCCAGTTTCCCCAGGCTCTTCAGGGGAGACTTGAACTTGAAGGAACCTTTTGCTGAACCACTGCCTCCACCGTTTCCCTTCTTCCCTTCGTTAGCTTCATTTTCATCTTCTTCGTCCTCGAAAGGGTTGCGGTCCCTCGGCACGTCGCCATCCAGGAGAGAGCTGCCAGGCGACCAGTGGTGGCTGTGACCGCCATTGTCGTGGATGTCATCGTCGTCAAAGGGGCTGTGATGTTGGGGGGTGATGTTCAGACTCATCCTGCGGAGGATCCAAGCGTTGTCAAAAGTCGGACCGCCGCCTTTCAGACGCACTGGGAGGTTCTTGAGTACAGGCATGATGAATGTAGGGACAGGGGGACAGGGAGGGGGAAACCTAAAAAGAAGAGGAAGTGACATCATACGGTCAGAGGGGAATAGTGACAGTAGAAAGGCTAAATCAACACTCAGTGTAACCTGCCACAGAGGCTAAGCTAACAGAAGCTCATGTTAGCTTAAAAAAAACCTTAAGTTTGTCCTCATTAAAGGAATCACTTCCTCGGTGCAACATGGGAATTTGAAGAAACTGTACTGAGTAACAAAGAAAACGTTATCATCATCAGACACTGATATCCCAGGTGTGTGTGTGTGTGTGTGTGAATTTTGACCTTCAGATTAAAACACTTCCTCTTATCGATGCAGAGTCCGGCAGCTGAAGTTTAACTAGGACCTGATCTGGGTTCTGACTCACTGCAACTGACTTCTCAAAGACCTTTTACAATGTCATTTGTCGCTGAGTGGAAAAAAACTCTGTTGATCCTAAGCTTTAGTGAGAATGGGACATGCTGCTTCCTGATTGGCTGCCAGGTGTTTAATGAATTATCAAGGTCTACAGTTTGACCCCGTCCAGGATGGTGTGTGTGCCAACCCCTCGGTTTCTTTGGTAACAATGGCTTCTTGGACATGCACAGTCCCACAGACATAAAACACTAAGACATAAATATGTCAACCATTAACAGGTGAAAGCGCAGCAACGATCTTTATGACTCAAACAAACAGACACTTCAAACACAGTCTGAAGAGGAACCAGTGGAGTTACCAACACTCCAACAGAAGTCGAGTCGTTTAAAGATCAAATCTCCAAAAAGAGGATATTTCATCTCTGTCTAACATGTGACCCCTCCCCGTCTAAAATAATGGTTCTTTGTTGTGACATTCAATTTCTATGTTGTCAGATTCCATATAACCATACATCAGAATCATATCCATTGACTGAAATAACAAATTGATTTTCTCCATGCACATTAAATATTATTTATTATATTAGAGAGGAAGGGGAAGAGAGAAAGCTGGGGGAGAGGGGCAGAGTGGGGTGAGAGAGAGAGAGAGAGAGAGAGAGAGAGAGACAGACAGAGAGCGAGAGAAAGCGGATGTTGTTGATGTTGTTAGTTTCCAGTCTCACCAGCTCAGGACACGTCTGCAGCTAAAAATACATAAAACAAACTCGTAGCAATGCTCAGTGTGTAGGGCAAAGTGGGAAGTGATTCAATGGAACTGGTTCCATAAATACCCAGCAGCCCTGGCGGCAGGCTCAGGAAGCCCGTGTGGAGCTCACACAAACACACACACACACACACACACAACCTGTTTTTCTTCAAGAGTGAAGCAGGGCATCAGGGAAGCAGGTCCACACAAACAATAGGAGCGGAAAGAACCTCGATAGTGCGGTGGGTCTCCCTGCTGCCCGTGTGGGCAGCATTCCACCACAGTGTCTAGAACCCAGGTCTTCAGGAGGCTTTGCCTTGAGGTGTTCGGGGCACTTTTGGATGAAGAGTGACAGAAGATCAGCAGCAAAGTCAGAGACAGCGTCTCTGTCCCGATAGACAGGAGGCTTAGCTGGAGAAGATGAAGATGAAGATGAAGATGCTGTGAGATCTTCACATGGAGGGACCAGGATGGACAGGGTCAAACCAGAGGGACAGGACAATGTGTATGGGGATCTGGGGATCATGGGTTCACATCCCAGCCTCTGCAGGACTGTGGTGTGTTGACACCACATACTGTGTACAGTGTGTACATTAGTCTCTTTAACAAGAGCACCAAATACAGAGGACAACTGTTGTTGTCTGTTTAAACAGTATCTGTGTACAGTGAACGTACGATCACATGACAAATTACAAATAACGTTCAGACCAGGCTTTGATGACTTTAACCAGTAATATTAATAAAGTGATTAACTAATTAGCGTGGGTACAGTGTGTGTGTGTTTTTGAACTCTTCAGAAAATGTGTCCAAGCAAAATTAAAATTAAAGTCATGAGGCAAAACTCATAACCCGCCATTCTTCAACATGAGGTCAAAGTCAGTCCTGATCAAATAGTGAAAATATTTCAGCAGCATTAAAACATAACTCAGGGTCAAAGTCACAAAACAAACAGGAAGCCAGGACCAGAAACAGATATGGAATCAGACATGGACGCAGGCCTCAGCCTTGACTTATGGCGTGGGCGGAGGGCGGAGAGTTTGATTATGACTAATGACAGTAAAGATAATGGGCTGATCCATGTCTGCAGGAGGAAACACTGAGAACATTCAGAACCGTAAAAAATAACAACAACTCTGACAGACCATCACTCACATGCTGGGATGTTTGGGAGCAAACTGCTGCTACATCACAGATTCAGCAACGTTGTCTACAAGTACTGCTGTAGCTAACGTTAGCTCTGGTGTCTGCACCAGGACTGTTGTAGCTAACGTTAGCTCTGGTGTCTGTACCAGGACTGTTGTAGCTAATGTTAGCCCTGGTGTCTGTAGCTATGGTGTGCTATAGCTATAGTTTGTGTTCGAACACAGCCTGATTCGGGTGACATCATCATGAGGGAGCAGCAGCTGGGAGGAGGCTGAAAACTCACCAGTCAGTGACAGAATTTGACATTTTACTACAACATGAGACCAAAAAATAAAAAGTACATTAAATACATGAATATGTGTAACATTCATTAAATGTCTTGTGCTGAAAGATATATTTACTTTGCATACTTGGAAAAATATAAGTTAAAAAAAAGCGGGGGAACAATAAAGGGTCCACAGCCGCCCACAACGTCTGCACATGACTGCACATTTTCATGTCATGCAGCTGTCAGTCACACAGCATTTACTTATAACCAGTGATTGACTTGTGTCCAATAGGAGCCTGCCCCAGATGTTATGTCATAACATTTTCTCTGTCTGTCTCTCTGTGGTTTTTATTGAATTGAACTTTAATTTAAACTTTTTTTTGTAGTGTTTTTAGAAATGATATAACAAACAAGGACGACATCGCCTTCTTTGGACATAAACTTCCAGTGTGTTCTTCTTATGGATGACATCGTCCATTTCCCACATACTCCAACCACAAAGAAAAAAAAAACAGAACTTGAAACTGCACATGAGGCTCAGTAATCCAAGAGTCAAATGTGAGATTCTGTTTCCTCTGGTGCAGAGAGAAAAATGATCTCAAGGATGTTCTTTTTCCTCTGAGGTATGAAGTTGAATGTTTAACATTCAGGCGATGGTGGACGGAGAACTCCATGACATCCAGTAATAATAAGTGCAGCTTATATAAGTTCACCTGCAGGCGGAGACGCTGACAGACGTGATGTGGGCATAGGCACAAAAACACAACATGTGATCCCTGTAAGCCAGCAGGAAGCTGCTGCCGACTCAACATGGTTTTTCACATCAGGCTGCTCTGAAGTCACTCACTCACACTGCATGTCTCTGTCTTTACATTTAAAATAACAGCTCAGCAGACTTTCACAGAAATGAAACTCAATCTCCTCTCTGTGGACCAAGGTGCTGAAGCGCTGCTCAGACCCAGTGCAGACCAGAAGTGACAACGTGACGACATGCAATTCAAAAATCCTGGACCAAAGTTTGAGCTTTTGTTGGATTAATATCTCCATATTTTTCCATTAACACTGAACTGGAGCCACTGAACTGAACAAACTCTGTTTGTTCGATGTTGATTTCCTAGTCAACTAAATCCTGGCAGAGACTGTAACAATGATCCAGATGAAAGACTAATCCCAGAGCCAGCGTCACCGTCTCCTTCAAACTCAAATCCAACATTTCTGTGTGAAAATGTCATAAGCAAACGCCTCAAACTGTTAAATCATCACAGATTATGTTTTAAATATTCACACCTCAGCATGAGAATGTGTACGAGGGGCCGTTTTCTGGGTGTTTTCTCAGGTCATCTCCAGCACAGAGGTCAAAGTTTAAAAAAGCACAGAGCAGAGTTCAGATAGAAGCAGAAGTTTGTCAGTTTTTGCAGGAAGTGTCAGGAAGTTTAAATGTGTCATTCAGTGGACGGACGGGTCGTTTTTATTCTTTAAAAGACAAAAAGCGCCATTATTTTTATTATTATTTATTACATTATAGGCAGTTTTTCTGTTTAGGTTAGACTTGGCATCCAGAGTGAGTTGGGTGTGTGCTGAAGGAACACTCTGAGACAGAAACACTCTGGACTATGAACCCGTTTTATTCTTCTGTTCGCAGCTTTCATAAGAAACACACTTCCCTGACTCAGCAGCTGTGTCATATGTCACACACACAGACACACACGGCCAGTGGCGCAGCTGAATAAAGACACAGTCTGTGCATGTCAGAAATGCTTGTCTGCTACACAACAACACAACAACACACACACAGCTCTACTGTGAGGACAGACAGAAACAACCAAACCGTGGTCTGACCAAGTCTGACGATGGATCTGAGTGTAGGGACAGTCAACTCTGACCAAATAACTCAGATGTAAAAGAAAAACACTCAACTATTCCTTTAAACACCTTGAAAACATTTGTAACATTACATAAATATAGCATTTAACATGACTGGTACTAAATATATCAAACATCCAAGGTGACACTGGACAAACTCCCCTTGACACCTGTCCTCCACTGATCACCTGGGGGGGGGGGGGGGGGGGGGAAGATCATGTACTGAAGACAAAGTGAAGCAGAACGTCTTTCCATTGACATTTATGCGGAAAAACCAGTAAAAAGCATTATTGGTTAACTGGTTAACTTCAATCAATGAGACTTTAGGACTGATGTGCCCTTTACACACACACTCACTCACTCACACACACACACACACACACCTGTATAAACGACAATAATCTAGAAACATCAAATAAATACAGTTATTTCATGATATTAATATTAAAACATTCTAATTACACTTCTGCAGATAAATCCCAGTAAAAACGTGTAACGGATTTAATGTGAACTCACTGGAGGAAGCCATGTTGCAGGCTGAGCGCCACAACCCGGGACAGAAGCGTCGGAGTCTGCTGACCGTGACCGAGAGAGCTCCGGTGATGTGTCTGTGTCCGAGTACCTGACCCTCTGCTCGACTTCTGTTCTCAGACTGTGAGACAGGCTGATGCCTTCAGGCGCGGTCGGAAATGTCGAAATTCTTGAGCGGACTCCACCTTATCAGTAATACAAATGTGGTTCCTTGGTTTTAACGCTGACTTGTCTTATTTTCTTAAAGGTAAAATCAACTTTTCAGTAACGTATTGAATAAATAAATTGAAATTGAAATATCTGAATTTAATTGAATATGAATTTTCTGGCTGTGAAAGCCGGTATATTAAACGTACCTGAAACCTGTCGACCAATCACGAAGCAACTCGTCTTATTTGCATAACAGTGTAACCTTTCAGTGATGTTTACCATATCATTATCGATTTATAGAGTTTACGAGATTGAAAGGATCAATTCTGATCAGATTTTTAACGGTGAAGTTAGAGATGAATATGTGGCAGAGAGTAGTGAGGCTTCAGGAAATGTTTATACTTCAAACTTTTCATCTACCTCCACAGAGCTGTAGTAAGCCAGCTGTTACCTTTTAAAGCTAACATCAGTAAAAACAAACTGTCTTTTAATTCAAACTTTGTGAGAGATAAATTAATGCTTTAGAAACAAAAATCTGAAATGTATTTACCAGAAATGTTCTAAAGTTCAAAACAAAGTAACTAGTAATTAATGACCTGACTTTAAATCAGTACACTGACCCTGCTGACCTGGGTCCACGTGACCGTGCAAATGAAATCTATGGAGACAGGAAGACATGAAGACATCTCCCTGTTTAATACATGAATGAAAACTTATTGTGTTGTGAAAGTTGTCTCACACACACACACACACAGGTATGTCAACTGTTGTCGGAACTAAAGATTGACAGCCATGTTTGGACATTTTGTCAATTAATTATAACAAAAGTTGGCAAAAGGTGTGTGTGTGTGTGTATGTGTGTGTGTGTGTGCGCACAAACCAGAGTTAATGAAAAAAAAGGTCACCTCTCCTGTGTGTATAACAGCTGACTGACTGAGACCTGAACACACACACAGTGAAACGATGACTGGTGAAGGTCACTCTGTGAAGAAAGGAGAAGTTGAGGAGTTCGTACATTTCATCACTGGACTTAATGAAGTCTCATGTTCTGACTTTGCATTTCTGAAGAGTTGGAGTCAGCGTTTCACTGACACTGAGCTCAAGAGAAATGTAAAAAAAAAGTGAAGAATTTCAATTGATTCAGTTTCCATGAATAAAAATGAAAATATTTCCATTTGCACTTTTCCTGCAAAAAGCTGATAAATCAGATTTCTTTTCTTTGTTGTCAAATCTAAATCGACCTCCACCTTCAAACACGGAGCTGCTCCAGCTCACAGCGGTTTAAACAGTGACCTTCTCTCAGCTTATCACTAACACATCAACAACCGCTCAGATAGATGAGTGATTTGAACTGACTCTGTGACTCATGGCTGGCCTGTTGAAGTTTGACTGTGTCAGCAGTCCATAAAAGAAAGGCTCCACATGAGTGAGAGAAGAATGGGTGACAGAGAGGACCAACTCTGATCACACCTTCAGACTAAAAAGTATTTACATCACAGATTCATCATTCATCATCCATCCTCTCTTGAACCTTTTCACTGATGCACAGGGAGACCAGAGTCGGTCCCACCGTCAGCTCCAGATTTATACACCTGAGAGAGTCCTGCAAAGACACTGATGTTATGTGGCATCAGCTTTATTTACCTTCTTACTGACAACATTGTTTTCACTGGAGACCAGTGGAAAACAAAGGTAGAAGAAGGATGAGTGAGACAGAAAAACAAGAACGTGTGTGTATGTGTGTGTGTGTAAGTACAACACACAGGGAAGACAGTATGGAAAGGTCTATAAGTGAATGAGGCCGTGGCCACCTACAGAGCAGAGGAAGGTGCCGTTCACAAACACAGAGCTGAGGAAACAACAGCAGGACACCAGGCTGCTGCTCTAAAGGAGCAGTTCAACATGTTCATCTGTGTCCAGTTCATCAAGAAGGTGAAACCAAACCTTGGCAGACAGTCAGACAGTTCAGGGCTGAAGACGCAGCGTGGTTTAGAAAATGTCCCAGAATACATCATGGAGGAGTGTCTCTAATTTGACTGCCAAAAGAATCAGAACCAATCAAATCATTCCTTCATTCTGTTTCTACTGCCATCAGTCTCCATCCCGTGGCGAGCTGCTCGCAGCCTTGCGGTGGGAGGATCAGGTTTGTTGTCAGAGGTTCAAATCCCACCTTTGCCGACAGATGCTTTATCAAACACACAGCAGAGGATAACCACCCTAATTCACACGTCTTCATAGTGTACGGTGCTGAGTCACTGCTACTGCCTTCTCTTTGTCCGTTCCTGAGGAGGACCTAATGTTTGTGGTCATGTCTTTTGATGTGAGACGGTTTCCTTTCCTCTTGTTTGGTGTCAACAAAAGGCCTGAATGTCATGTTATTTTACAAAAGAATTCCCCAGCAGCACAGGGCTGACAGTCAACTGGTGATAAACTTCAGTCAGTTCTGATGAGAAAAGGCCGGTCAGCCTGAGAGGTTCAGGTGCTGGGACGAGAGCATGTGTTCATCTTTATGTTATGACACGTGAGTGACGGAGAAGAAGAACCATAGCACGTCTTCATGACCAGAGCAGATATACCAGGTGACCAGTCCATCACCAGGGTTGTATTTAAAGAACAAAGAACCATGCAGCCTCAGATTCACACCTAGGTCCAGTTCAGAGTGACCAGTGATCTCACCAGTGTCCACACTGACAATTCAGACTCTACCTACAGTAGACTTGGAGACGTCTACTGCAGTCACCTGAGAGTCAGAGTCTTCAGTCCAGGTCCAAACCCTGTCTCAGACTGAACTGCTGTCTTTGGCCTCTGAGCCCAACATGTGACTGAGACGTTGGTGATAAAGGGTTAAAGTCAACCTGAAGGTCGTGGTCCTTCAGGTTGACTGAGCATCATCCAGACCACAGAGGTCTAAACATCATTGGTCAGGACAAATGAAAGGTTCTTACCTTCAGTGCTGCTTCAGGACAACAGAGTAATCCACCAGTGTGTGTGTGTGTGTGTGTGTGTGTGTGTGTGTGTGTGTGTGTGTCCCCTGGGTTCCTCTCTGATTCTTCCTTGCTCCAGGTTCTTCAGTGTCTTCTGTTTTCAGCAGAATTCATTGGGTTTGGCTAATTTGTTTTATTTTTAGTTATTGTCCTCTTGTCTTCTTGTCCACTGCGTCCTCGTCTCTGATGCTGTGTCCCAGTCTGCCTTCTGTTCCCCTCAGCTCGCTGCACGCTTGTCTCTCCTGCTCGCCATTTCCTGTTTGTTTTATTTTCTAGCTGCAGCAGGAAATGGTCATCTTTTCCTCTTCCTTCACACACACACACACACACACACACACACATACACACACACACTGATCTGACATAACAGACCACTTCGTCTTCAAACAATAATTAAATCACCTTCACACAAACCAGTCTCTGCACCTTAGACCAGGTTTATATTATTAGAAATGAGAAAGTTACATCATAGTCATTTATATGTAGAATATACTTTTCTACATATATTTTACCTTTTTTATTCCCTTTTATATAAGGATTTAACAGAATCTTCCACAATGGTCCACCATACTGATTTTTATAGGAAGGAAACCTCATGACCCCCTATATCCAGTAACAATATAACATTCACCACTAGATGTCACTAATTCCTACACATCGTTTCATGGTCATTATGTGCTATGCAGCTGTGTTTCCTGGCACAGATTGTCATGCCCTTTATTTGAGGCCAATAAATCGTGCACTGGCCCTTTAAGTTGTTCCTTTATTTATTGTAATGTTGTAACAGGTCAGTAACGGGTCAAAGAATGATGGTTGAAACTGTTTATTTACAACAGAAGTATTTCTTCAAATGTCAGTGGTACAAATGGATGAACACCATGTGTTCATGGTGTTCAAAACAAAGAGAAGGTCAAAGTTTGATCTTCAGTTCCAACAGTGTTCACACGTAGGCTTTGGTGCTGCTGCTGTCCAGAGGCACAGCTGCTCTGTAGATGCTGGCTCCACCACTGTTAGTGGAGTATTTGTAGGAGAACTGTCTGCAGGAGAGCACAGAACAGACACTGCATCAGCCAGTGTCTGTGGGGGTTTGTGTGTATATGTGTGTGTGTGTGTGTGTGTGTGTTTACCGCGTATCAGGGACTGACTGCATCTTCCTGCAGGAGCAGCACAGCATTGAACCGCCCAGTACCGCAAGACAAGAAGACGCCCAGCCCAGGTACAGACCAGTACCCAGTTCAAACCTGGAACAGAAACCAGCATCGTCATCATCGTCATCGTCATCGTCATCGTCATCGTCATCGTCATCGTCGTCATCATCATCATCATCATCATCGTCATCATCATCGTCGTCGTCATCGTCATCATCATCGTCGTCATCATCATCAATCATGCCATCGTCATCGTCATCGTCATCGTCATCATCTTCATTTGTGTAACCCCTCCTCACCTGACTCCTCCGTACAGTGGGTCGTAGAAGTCATTGATGACCCTGGCAGCGTACCAGGACACTGCAGTCAGAGTGAAGACGCCTGACAGGAAAATAATTAACCACGAAAAACAAAAATTAGAAATACCAAACCATACCATCATTTACAAATATACTGCAACAGTTGCAAAGCCCAGCCCACGGCCTACACCTGCAGCCCAGCCCGGTGGAGCGGCCACTCACCAGACAAGAGGAAAAGGATTCCTCCGCTCAGAGCGATCTGTTCCTTCACTGGCTCTGACACTCTGCCAATCTTGGTGCATTTGAGTCCAAGCACAGAGATGATGATGGCAGTAAAACTGAACAGCACTGACAGGACCATCAGAGCCCTGCAGGTCTGCAGGTGAACTGCAACAAAGAGGCTGTTGATGAACTGTACTGGGAAAGCCTTGACACACCAGAAACTGATGAACTGGAAACTTGTGCCTGTGTGTATGTGTTCCCAGCTGTTCATGTGAGGACATTTTATTTTTAAAAAAAAGGCTATAGTTGTGGGGACGCGTTGCAGAGCAGGTGTGTGTGTGTGTGTGTGTGTGTTTACCAGGCAGCCCCAGTGTCGTCTTGAAGCGGTTGCACTGGAGCGAGCCCAGAGACGTGGCAGCACAGCTCATCCACAGACCTTCAAACTGCCACTGGCTGCTGCTGATGGACTCCGCCTGACTCCTCATTTTCCACACCTGGGATGACGTACAACTGGACTGTAGACACCATCCTGCCACGCCCAGAATCAGACCCACTACCTGCAGTGCCAACGCCATGCTGCTCCACCTCTGCACAGGGAGCAGGATCACCTGGGACTACACCGAACCATACACAGGTCAGAACAGCTGCAGAGGAGTTTGGTTCTACTGCAGCCACACAGCTGGTGGATGTTTCTAGACCTCTGCCCTCTTCCTCCTCTATTAATGTAATACGTCCTCATAATTTACATCATGAAAAAGACAGAAAGTAGAGACAGAAAACACCAGGAACATGTTCATACATCAAATAAAAACCAGCTCTGACATCCAGAGAACCCCCGGTGACTGACCCTTCTTCAGTTATGTTGCTTCTATCAACTCAACATGAAGATGAAAGACGTTTTTGCTTAGTCTTTTATAGAGAAAAAAACAAAACACTTACAACTAAAAATGAGCTCTTTTAGGACTATTAGGTCTGGAAACATTTCAGAATCACATCACCACAGGTCAATTTCATCTCAACTCTACTTTTGCAAAGACAGACTGCATCTGATTAGGAAATGTATCACTAACATACATTTGACACACAACAGTACATGGTAAAAAACACAGAACCTTCTGTTTGGTGGCGATGAGAACATCTTACCGTCTTCTTGAGGTTTGTCTGTTTCCTCTCTTCTTGTCTTGATTTGGTTATCGTTCTTTGTTCCTTTTGTGCCTAATTTCCCTAGTTCTCTCTCTATGAGGTGGTTACGAGCGTTGGCGTGTGGACCTGAGCTGGTCTCTGGTCTCTGCTGGTTCAGGGTCGATGACCTCGGCTGAACACACACCGTTATTGACGTTTCACATACAGATGTTTGTTATGCAGCTGGTTTCTCTCAGGATTCTCAGGGAGGTCCAGACTAACTTCTGGAATGTTCTGACCATTGGGGATTGCTATTATCAGAACTTATTTTTAAAATATATTAAATCATTAAAGGTTAGTGATTGAAAGGGGTGCGTAGTTTGGCCAAGACTACCCTAGTAAACCACAAGAGGGAGCTATAGCATGTAACATGTTGCTCTGCTAACAAACTGCTAACACTAGCAGACTTGTTGTATGATATAAGCCAGTGTTGGACTCCTGGGTTGGTCTACAGTAGAACAGAAAACATTCTCAACGTGTTTCTGGGCGACTATTTGAAAAAGCCGGTTTTAAGTTTGACAACAGAAAAACACCAGACTGCAGTTTAGATTTTTTTTTTATTTTAGTCAGAAAGAAAACAACAGTCGCAAATGTGACTCTATGTTGATGATTTATATATAATGTGTATATATATATATATATATATATATATATATATATATATATATAATGCTCTGTAGAACTCTACAAAGATCATTAATTAAACTGGTTCTAGTTCAAAACCACTTGATCAACTGATTGGTCAACTACTCGTCCCATGGCGTTTCTTTTCTCCTGACAAGGAAACAAATGTTGTGAATTCCGTAGATTAGAATAAACATAAATAGGTTTTTGTGACATCATCAACAGATGGCAATGTAACCACAGCAGTACGTCTTGACGGAATAAGGTCAAAACATGTACTGCTTGAGTGACTCGAATGTTTTGACTGACAGTGAAGTCTGACTGTTTCTCCACAGTTACAAACCCCCCTCCCAAAAACCCCAACACTGGTTCTCTTGACTCCTCCCCTCATGCTGACTTGTCCACAGTACATTTTCCCCACTGTGTATTTTTACTGCCCCAGTCACTGTGAAAAACATTCATAACACACAGAAAAAAACTTTTTTAAAAACACTCGCCAACATGTGGACCAGGCCTGAGAGTCTGTACATTTATACATGTTCACAAGGCTCTTCTCTGTCAGGCAGAGCCTCCGCTGCCAGCACCTCCTCCTCGCCCTCCACCTCCTTGAGTTCTGAAGTTGTGCCAGACTTTAACAAAAGGTTCTCGGTTCTTCCAGATCAAATCATGACCATACAGGGCGTACCAGCTGCAGAGGGCATTAACAAAAATAAAATTTAAATAAAACAGAAAGGAAGACAAAACAACTCAGCCTTGGCTGGTGACTCACATTCCAAACATGGTTCCTCCCAAATGAGCAGCGTGGTCAAAGAACTGCCATCCCAGCAGCAGGCCTGCCGTGTCCAAGGCAACAATGGCCTTTAGAGCCTGAGACAGGGGATAGGACGAAGAGGAGATATTTAAAGAAGATAAGGAGGAGGAGAGAGAAGCAGAGGTGTGATGTGGTCAGGAGGAGGAGCAGCTGAGCATAGACTTACATTTGCTGCAGTGAAGGTGAACATTGGGAGGAAGATGATGGCCAGTTTGGCCTCAGGCATTTTAGTGCAGACAGTAGCCAAGATGGTCATGATGGCACCTGACTGTACACAGAAACACACACACATCAAAATCAGTCATATTTAGGAACTTTATCAGCAGATAAAATCTTTAACAACTAAACTAAATAAAGTTTGTGTCATATTGTTCTAACAGGACACTAAGTTTAACAAATTCACGCTGACTTTAAAATGTTCTAATGATCAGTGTCCAAGTCTGTCTGTTATGACTGGTTTAATACAAATGTTTTTCTGATGGAGGAAGAAGCCGTCGCTCACCGCTCCTACAGACATGCAGATTCTCCCGGTCGCCACTTTACTCACGTAACTGACAAACGTAGAAACGACTCCTAAACAGACAGACAGAAACGTCAGTGACCGAGGGTTAGAAAATCATATCAGTGCAGACTGTGTGTGTGTGTGTGGGGGGGGGGTGTGCAGCACCTGCAGACAGGTAAAGGGCCATGAACTGCTCTCTGCCAAGCATTGAAACAGCGCTGGAGGAGAAGCTCCACAGAACATACATGTTTGCTGCCATGTGGAAGAAGGAGTAGTGACTGAAGGTGGACAGCAGCATGGGTAAACACAGAGCCTCTGTTGGAGGAAGAGAAACACTGCCAGGTCACCAGCTGCTTGAAAGAAAAAGAGATGCTGAGACTTTTAACAAACACTCACTGGATGCAGGTGTGGAGATAAAGTATTTGAGCATGGTGGGCTGCAGGGAAGGAATTCGCCAGCAGCAGAAAACAAGGACATTTGCAGCAATGATTCCTGAAATAAAGGCAGATTTGTAAGGCTACATATGATGTTTACAATTATTTTTACGTTTACAGGATATTTATTGGTTTCTTACAAAAGTGGTTTCTCATCCAATCAGATTTAAAAAAAAAAAAAGTTAAACTGATAGCATATAAGCATTCACCTGTGACCGTCTTCTGACCTTCACTCAAACTGTTCCACCATCGGTTGACCTGGAATATGAAATATCAATCCACAATTAGGAAATACAACTCTGACAATCTCCGAAAGTCCTGTCTTGACCTTCATCTGACTGACGTCCATCAAATTTACCTCTTTACGGAAGTCTCCTCTTTTCTGAGGTCGCAGCTTCTCCAACCAATCGGCATGGACTTGGTCAAAAAAGCTTTGGACTCGAAACTTGACAGATTCATACTGCCAGATGGCCGCCAAGCCAAATGAACAGCCTGTAAACTGACATGGCGTTAGCACCTCTGTCAGGACACCATCATTAGCTTTAACAGCTGAGCATCACCTACCCCAACAGTGAAGACCAGCGGTTTGATGAGCTGACTGGCTCGGGGGGTATCTGATGGAGATGTTCGATGGTGGACCTCAGCCTCAACTGGCTCTGTTCTTGAAGATCCCAGTTCCTCTTCCACCTTCTTGGTCTCTGGTTTTCTGGAGGCTTTTCTGAAGCCACATTTTTGCTGGACGTTGTGAGGCCACCTGCTGGAAAGACAGATAAAGACTAGGTCAATACAGGCACAGCACTTACAGCTACATTTTCACAACAGCTGAAAAAAGGCCATCATATTGCCAGCCAAATAAACCTAGCCTGGTATACATTAGGCTGTTTACACTTGACTTGTGTGTTAAAATTTTCAACATTACAATGAACCAAAGCATGTGACTAAATCAACCTTTCATTGACTACAGCAGTGCAGGTTGACTTCACTGTTCCTTCATCTGATAGCATCTCAAGTGGTGTTTTCTTGTAAAAGTCACATCAATAACCAATAAAAAGACAATTACAGTAGCATTATGCTTGACTAAAAACGTGTCGTAGTATATAAATGCATGAACACACAAGGTATTGTCGTAACCAAAACACATTAATTAAAAAATCATATCAAGAGCATAGCGCAGCGCCGGGTGTTTAACTGACAGAACAGTAACAAAAAAGAAAATAGCTCTGCCTGACAGTCAGGCAAGAGATGATGACTCCATGCGGCGACAATCACCAACCTGCCATTCTTGGTGGAACACCGAAAAAGTCCTTCTCCGACTCTGAACAGGACGGAGCAACTTCTCCAAGCCATGTTTAGATCCAATGAACCTTAAACCTCGTTCACTTCCGGTTCAAAAGAACGGCGCTAAGAAGAGATAGCGATAACTAGAGGACAAAAACCGAAACTGCACACTTTAATAATAATAATAATAATAATAATAAAAAAAAAATTGGGTTTGGCTAATTTTCGTAGGTTCTATATTGTATAATAGAGGATTTCACTGCTAAATGTCTGAGAACTGTAGTGTGTGGAATAAAATGAATGAAATGAAATAAACATGAATAAAATAGATATATTTCAATAGAAGAAAAGAAAACTTGGGCAGGGGAACACGAGAGATTACATAACGCAGATTTAGAGTCAACTATTCAGATTTCTAATGAAATAAGGGCATTTAGAGAACATTTTTTCATCAAAATGTGAACTTTTTGTCAAATTCTAATAAATTTTGACAAAAATATTTGTAAAAATCAGAGACTCCAAACTCACCAGAGAAGAAATGGAAGTGAACATGAGACTGTTTGACCTGGAACAAAAGACGAGAGTCCAGAGAAGTCATTTGAGTCTTTATTAAGAAAGGTATCACCTGGTATAGATCAGTGCAGTCGGACAGACATGATCTGGATCAAACAGAACCTCCACTTAGTGCTGTGTGTGTGTGTGTGAACACGTCTGTGGAGCTGTAACAGGAGCAGAGAACCGACTGGGCTGAGGAAACAGAGACTCAGAAGAAAAAACTCTTTCACATTCAGAGGAACAGGAGAACAAATAGTTCCTAAACCCAATAACAAAATCTGGGTTACATGAAGACAGCCACTGATCAACACAACCAAACCCAAAATAATTAGTTTACACTCAGCAATTTGTGTTCTCATTAATGTGGTTTATAGAAATAAACCTTTAACTGAAACAAACATTAAACATTGAGTAGTTGGAAAAAGTCAATGCTTATATATATAAAAAAAACATGAAATCCATAAAAATACATCCAGTTTAAATTTGGGAATAAGTATTTTGGTTTTTCTTCAGTGCTATAAACAGAAAATGAGTTTAAAAACAAAATTAAACATGACAGGTGTAATGTCAAACGGTCTCCACAATTTCCTGATGTTATAGACAAAATATTGAGTTGGCTGTGGCAGGGTGAGAAGCTGCTACACAGACAGACACACACACACAGAGTGGAGCGACATATAAACATTATGTTGGATATTTCCAGTCCATACACAGGTGAGTCTGTGACCCCAGCAGCTGACCTCTGTCAGGACAGAAGGGGAGGGGGGGGGGGTCTGTGCAGAAGTACTTATTGATGTAATTAAATTGCATCCCGAGCTCAGCTCACAGGCCCACTTTCATTGTTTTGAGGGGGCAGCAGCCCCGGGAGGCAGTACACTGATGAGAGATGGATAAACAGTTTGATTTGCTGCTGTTGCCCCCAGGCACAGTGTACCAGAGAGATGAGCAAGAGGAGGAAGAGAAAGCATGAACACAGGGCGGGATGGAAGAGGGCAAAGCTGAAAGAGAGAGAGAGAGAGCGGGAGGAAAAGCAAACCTTTTGGGCGGAGGGAATGAAGTACAGGATCAACACGCACACACAAGAAAGAGGCAACAAACGGTTCCTGTTGTTTATTTTCACGTGTTCTCTGAGCTTGTTTCTCCTAATGCTGCTCTGTCTCTCACTTCTTTTTTCCGCCGCGGCCTTTATCTATCTATCTGTCGATCTCCCCTTCCCCACTAACTCCCTCCAGCTCCATCACACCACCGACACTGCTTTGTCTCCTACCTGCCTCTCTGTAGCCCCAAGCCAAAGCAAACTGCAGAACACAGAAGAGAGTAAACACCGACACACACACACACACACACACACACACACACACACACACACCCTCAGTGTAGACACAGCCCAAGGTTTGGTTTTAGCAGCTTCATACAAACAAACAGGCAGAATTATCAATGTTTTAGTCGAGACAAATAAGATGTTGTAGGTTTCAGTGAGGCATGTTTCCACACACACATCACACACACCACAGTTGGAGAGGGGGGGGGGGGGGGGAGTGGTGGGGGTGTGTGTGTAAGTGTTTAGAAACAAAGAACTAAAAAGAAAAAAACTAAAAAAAAAAAAAAAGAATAAACTGATTTTAAAATCACAGCGGCATCCTGTTTCCTTCGACACTGATCTTTACAGCATGTCCTGTCTTCGTGAGGCGGCGGATGTCGGCAAATCTACGCATCTGTTTATCCACCCGAGACAATCCTTTCTTCCCAGGACCCTGAGAGGAGCAAACAGAGATGGTCAAAGGTCAGCAGGTCAAACACAGTCAACCACAGATACATGTTTTTAATTAAGAACCTTTAACCCTTATTAGTCAACCACAAAGAAGAAGAAATGTTATAGATTTCATTCACATTTCTGTTGAGGAAAGTTTACTGACCACAGCCAGTCTGAAATGTTGAAGAGTTTTCTATAATAATTTTAAAATATAGACTATTCCACTCAGTCTTGTTTACATCATGGAATAGACTTAAATTGACCCGACACCTCTCTTAAATTGTCTTAATAATAATTCTACGTTTTTTAACGTTGGAAGACCCAGCAATTATTAAAATTAGAATTAACAGATTAAAAACATTTCCAGTTCCAGCTGCACTGCTGTTAACTGACAACCTGCTGGTTTAACAGTGACATCAACACAGACACAATTCAAACCCATAAGAACATCCTGATGAACCATCACCATGTTACAGCTGCCTCAGGAAGTGATGTCACCAGAAAAATCCACTCAACAGGAGCCATGCACAGTCTGCATAGACTAAATACAAGAAGTGGAGGGAGTCAGCTCTGCTGCAGGCTGTGGTTGAAGTGTGAGCATGAAGCCAGAAGTGCTGACTGGTCTCCACTCCACCCTGGCAGCCTTACAGCTTCTTTTAGTTCTTACAGAGCCTAAGGAAAGGTACTAACAAATGCTGCCACCCACAGGTCGCCCTGTTAGTTTGACTGGCACTTCACACCATGCAGAAGGACTTACTGCCCCCTGCTGACACACAGCAGGAACTACAAGGGCATTCTGTTTCCTTCTATGCTGATCTTGACCGCTCCTTGCGGGCGTCGCATTTTCCTCTCCTCAGCAAGACGACGCTTGTGCTTCTCCAGAAGGCTGACGCCTTTCATGTAGCTCTACAGAGAACCAATCACAGCTCAGTACTGCAGCAGGTGGCTGGAGCTAAACCTGCTGCTTCTTTCTGCAGACTTTGGTTCAGTAGAGTGAGTGGTTTAAAAACATAATTGAAACATGAAAAAGATCACAGTAACCAGGAGAACACAGAGTACAAGCAACTGTGTTTAAGACAGTGTCGTTACTGTAAACACTGACTCGAATTTCATCACATTCTACTAGATTTAAAGTTTAACTGAAATAAATCGTGTTTTTCCTAACCGCTTCCCTTCACCCTCCACCCCATGAACTCACCCTATTGGAGTCTGACTCCACGTTCCACTTGGGTCGTACTACATAGTCTTTGTTGGAGGGCATCGGCACACGAGCCCGAGCACAGAACCCTGGGTCACCAGGTCGTAGAGCTCTGCAGGGTGGAGAGTGGAGAAAACCAACGTCATAAAACCGTCAACCAAACAAAACATTTGTGGAAAATGTACGTCTGGATGTAACAGTCCCAGAAAAGAACAGGACTACTTACTTTTCCTCTCCAGTCAGCTGCTTCTCCAGGTCTCTCCGGGGAGTCTGTCCTCCTGAACTGCAGGTGAGAAAGACACAGAGGAGTTCAGTGGACATAAGAAGATGACACATGACAGGAGACAGAAACACACACCTCACAGCTGATCAACATTCTTCTTAGTCTGTGCAGATAAATAACAGCTTCCATGCTTTGATTAGTTCTGTCCACTTCACGGCAGTTAGTCATGGATTCAGTCAGTGATTCAGTCAGTGATTCAGTCAGTGATTCAGTGCCACAGGCTGTGACATTATTATGTTCTTCCTATGTGTCAAGGTACAAAGAGACCAAACGTCGACCTAGTTCAGACTCGAGTTAACACGTCAGCAGAGTCATTTGTTTTAAACTTGAAGGATTGCTGCTCTGCTCAGATGACAACAGATGACAGAATGACTGACTGCACAGAACTTTTGTTTCATTAAGGTGGGGATCGGACAGACACATCAACCATGTTCATGAACATGAAGTCATCTTTTATGCTGATGTATAATATTCTCATCAATACTCCTTCAATTCTGTCAGTCAACCATGCAAATGCATGACTGAACCTGATTGGTGGAGAGAAGACGTCAGGCTCTTCCGTCCTCTCCACCTTCTGAGGCTGACTGGGGGGAGGGGTGGGAGTGGAAGATGGAAATGGCAGGATGAAGAGATGAAACAGAAAATAGGAAATAGAAAACTGAGAAGAAAAATAAATCAACCAAACAGTGACAGGAGAAAAATTAAAAAGATGACGAATGACAGAATGACATCACACAGTAGCAACGGACTGATGAGGGAGGATGAAATGTGAACGGAGGAAGGTGAAGCATCATCATCATCATCACTAATACACACTCCTACAAGTGTTTTATTTGGTGCAGATTAGCCACAGCTGTCAATCAGGATAACATTAAAGAGACATTTCATGTTTTTACAGTCAGTTTGTCTGAGGTTCCTTTTTTTAACACAGCGTCAATTTAACGTCACTGAATGTTGTGAGTTGAAGAATCATGACAGAAGACAGAAAACATCATCCTGCTGTGTGGAAATGAATTGGAAGTGAATCTGGTGGAGACAACTCTACACTTTATCTCTGTAGATGTGCTCAGAATGCAACACCAAAGTTTAAGTCGTCTCTGGAACGACATTTGGCAGATGATTGTAAAACTGGGTGGAACCTCATCTTATGGGCAGCTCGCAGTACCATGAAGGCTGGCTTAACACAATTGAGTACAATAGTTAAAATAGTTGAAATAACACTGTGTAGAATGTACTGACACCAGTCTTTAAAATTATGTAGAAACCCAGATATCTGACAAACAGACTTGGTTTTAATTCAAACTAGGTCAACACTCTACCTAAACAGTTTATTCTCCTCACAGACTTATTAAAACATTAACGACTGAATTTTTTTAACTCGATTCTTTCTCAATGTTGTTTTCAGTTTGTTCCACACCCTCTGGTTCCGTTGCTCGTGTTCTCACCTGAGTCGTCGTCTCTGAGGCATCTGCTGGTCCAGATCTCTCTGCTCCCGCTCTTCTCTCGTCATTCCTTTGTAGTTAGAGGTCAAACCAAAAATCGGCCTTGACCACTCGTCTGTGCACAAAAAAAAACAAAAGGTCAACAAAACTCTCCTCAGTCAATGTCACACTGTATCACACACTTCCTGAACTGTTTTTTATTCTCATTGTTTTTGTTCCACACCACGCAATTCAACACCTTCCTCACTGTCACACTGGTTGAGTTGAGAAGCTTTGACTCCTGTTTTCTTTCAGCTCAGACAGACTGATAAAAAAGAGAACAAAGTGTTTTTCTTACTGATTAGCTTGAGCGCCAGGTCCTTGTTATTTCTAGACTCTTTGGGATGCTTGTAGAGAAACATAACAGCCCGGCCAATACCGCTATGCTTCAGAGTCTCCTGACTTACACTGGGCAACTGTGGCAAATGACACACACTATGATAAACACACAGTGATCTTTGGCCTCTGATCTGTGTGACCTGTGGGAAACCGATCATCCTCACCTCCTGCAGGATCCTTAGCAGCTCCTCTCTGATCCTAAGAGCGGGAAGTGATTTGTCTGGAAGAGGACTGATCCACTCTTTGATGGCCGACATCACGCCGCAGTCAATGAATGTTTCCTTCAAGTCTTGCCTGAGGGACAAATATTACAATGACAACTCAGGTCTTTGTGTCAAAAGTAAACAAATTGGTGTTAGTGTACACTTTTTAAACACATTTACCCGGGATTAACATTTTACTTGTTCAGAAACGACTGTCACTCTTTACACGCCTTAATACCATAACAGTCATCAGTCAAAGTGTTTTAAGTAGATGCAGTGTTTGTAAAGATTTGCTGCTCTTACTTCTTGAGGTGCATAACGACCTGAGGCAGTAAAGTGAGTTTCTTCAGTGCAGGTTTCTTCTGACTGTTCAGAGTTCTATCCTCCTGTTGAAACAGTGTCAGTGAGGACCCACAAGACATCATGTTTAAGCCTTTACTTTTTTTTTACCTCTGCTGCCTCGTTCATCTTGGTGATCATAGCACTGACCACATCATCTGCGTCGCTAATAAACGTCCCTCCATCCCGGTGTCTTCGCTTCCTGCTGTTCATGGCTTTTCTCTTAGCGAGCATGAGGTCAAAGTCTGACATAAAGCTGGTGCTAAGAAAAAACCCAAACCACAGATTTCAAACACCATCATCAAAGGCTTAAAGGTTTTAAGAGACACAAAGAACATGTGTAGGACAAACACAAGGCTTATTTACTCTTGACCGCTACGATCCACTCCTTCATCAGAGTCTGACTCCTCTTCCACCTGCTGCTTCTTCTTCACCTGCTCCTTCTCTCCTTCTAAGTCCTCCTGGTTAAAACCCTGCAGCAAGGGGCACACAGCCAGGTCAAAGGTGATATGACAAATGTGCAGATAGGGTAGACTGTCTTTCATTCTGACTTACCGTGAACTCCTCCTCCTCTTCATCCCCAGACTCTCCAAAGATGTCTGCAATCATTTTCCTATAAATTGAACAAAGTTCAAGAGTCACACCAGAAACGCTTCTGTTCAAAATTTAACTTTGAATTCTGTGAAGGGCTCACTCTTCCTCATCTCCAGAGTCACTGTCGCTACCAAACAGCGCCTTTTCATTCTTCTTCCCATCTGCTGCTTTGGCATCATCTTCGCTGCCACTGTCAGAGCCCAGCTCCACCAATTTGGCTTTCAAACTCTTATCTGGACCTCCGTCATCACTGTCAGAGTTCTCTTGATCATCCTCATCATCGGACACTGCTCGACTTTTCTTCACTGCTGGGAATCAGAGAAAAAAAAAGTTACTGATGAGACAGGAGTAAAGCGGTTAATGGAAGTGTAAAGTGCAAATATTTTAGACCACTTCATCATGCCAAGAAAGTCATGTTAATAGTAAACCCTTAAAATGGTCACAGTGGAAACTTGATCAATATTCAAATGTGTTATCTGAACCTTTTACCCCCTTTAATAGGATTAAATTAAAAATGATAGAGCAAAGATGTGATGTCTTTTACCTGGTGCACCTTCCTTCTCATCTTCACTATCTGAGAGAATGGCCTTCTTTCTTTTCACTGTGTGGGTGCACACAGACAAACACAAGCAAACACACACACAAACACCATTATGACAACTGCTGAGATAATTATCAAGGAGCACATTATGGTTACATCACCAGTGTGAGTGCAGTGTTGTTTGTAGGATCTGAGTTCAGTACCTGGCTTTTTCTCATCACTGTCATCTCCTTGCACCTTCTCCTGCTCATCATCACTTCCTACTGCAGGCTTTATCCTTTTTCCTTCCTCCTCATCCTCACTGTCAGACTGCATCACACCTTTCCATTTTTTTCCCTCGCCCCCTTCTGTGTCCTCCTTTTGTTTTTCTCCTTCCTCCTCTTCATCAGAGTCTATTTGTGCCGCCTTGTGTCTGGCAGGAGCGCCCGTGTCAGAGTCACTGTCAGCATTTGACCTGTTGGACACTGGGGGTTTTGAATCCTCATTGTCTGATTCATTGTTTGCGGCCGCTTTGGGCCGCTCCTCGCTCTCTTCCATGTCTGAACAGCTTCCCCTGCGTTTGACAACTGGAGATAACCCACCCTCGTTATCTGAACCTAGGTGTTTGATGGGTGATGATTCCTCGTTGTCTGAGTCGCTCATCCTACGTTTGACGGGAGAGTCATCTTCATCCTCGTCACTATTGGCAGGTCGGGAGGCCTCTACTTCAGAGTCACTTTTGTCATCCTCATCATCATTATTATTATTATTATTATTGTGGCTCTGGGTGGCCTCTCTTTCAGAGTCACTAGCGGCTTCTCTGTGGTCCTCATTGTCTGAACCACTGGAAGCCCTGCTGGTCTCCATGGCATGGGGGGCATCATCGTCATTACCGCCCTCGTCCTTTTGATGCAAACAGGGTGTGTCAATGTCACAGAAACACGTTGTCAATGCTAACATGTATGAAAAGTTCAAACATTACAGTTTAATTACAAATCACACCCTGTTGATAAGTCTCTGACCTCAGATTGGTGCCTGTCACTCTTCATGTCATCATCATCTGATCCTTGGTGTTCATCTTGGACTGGGGTACCGCCCCCATCATCTATAAGTAAAAAATTAGGTCAGAAACAAGGACTTCACAACACTGCTGTAAGGAGCAACAGGTTTTACAACAACAGACGTTTTTTACTGTAGAACATTACCAAATTTAGAAAGTAAAATTAATACTATGTTAGGGTCATAATAATTTCTAGTCTAAATATAACCAGTAACATTGAAGAGTAACATATGGGAGTCTGTAATACTACAACCTTCATATGTTGTATATGACTGTGCTATACAACAATATTCAATGTTTCCTTTTCTATAAAAGTGGTTTGGTAAAAGGTGAAGTTGTAAACGAAACATTTCCTGGTTGTGAAGAACTACCGTGTCAGGTCCAAAATTACTAAACGTTTTCTGGACTAATTGAATAAAAAGTAGTTCTGCATATGAACCTTAAATCAATTCTCAGAGATAGCGAGAGAAGCGGGTATTTGAAACTGAAATAGAAAACAAAGCAGAGCGCTTTTTACCGGAGCGGCTACCGGACATGAAGTCGTCTTCTTCTCCGTCCATTTTTTCCAAAAAAGACGGATTCGGATAAAAGTCTGAAATGAAAACACACAAACTATAAAACTTAAGCTAAGAAATACCTTTTAACAAAGCAAAAACGTGTTTAACGAGCAAAGCGCTACAACAACAGTTAACCACAGATCCAAAATGGCGGAATGCGTCATCTAAACACGCCGTCGCCACATAATGACGCAATCTCTTTTGGCTTTTATGTTTGCTTTTATCTTTAATTAACTAAATTATGGATTGAATGATAAATGTATCTTACAAAATTATATAGTAAACCTACAAATTGTTATTAGTTTAAAAGTACTCACGACAAACGTGTTGTTTTTACATGCCACTGAAGGGTGTATCAAAACATCATTAAAGCTTGGGTTTATTTGAACACCATATAAAATAAATATTGTTTAAATATTTCTTATGTATTTAATAACAATGAAGTATGAAAACACACCAAGAAAAAAAACATTGACGATTACTGACAGTAACAAGAATGATTTTACTGGTGAATTTGAACACGTTTTCTGTACCAGGGCAAACTAGCCGAAACTAGCCGTTTTAATAGGTAATAAACCAATCAATGGCAGGAACTTTTTCTATAATAAAATAAAACAAACAAGGTATAAAGATGGCGGTGTAAGTGAGGGTGCATTCAAAATATTGTACAGTTCGAAGAGTGCCCATACTCATGAGGTTAGTGAACGTGTGTATATCAAATCTGGAAGACTCCAAACAACCAAATAAAACAGTTTATCCTGAGGAAAACATTGCGGATCAAATTTTGCTGTAGTCTACCTTACCAGTTGGTGGCGGTAGTGGACTTGATGCATAAAATAACTAATGAACTTGTGACGTAATTATCGTGCGACACGGAGAAACCACGCGTGTTGTCAAGAGCTAAACCCAAAGCCGTTTAAATACAGTTTTCCTTGCTCTTGGTCCGTGTGAGGTCGCGCAAATGGGGGAACGTAGCCGACTGTGCTCCGTCTGGTTAGGCTCGGAGACAGGTATCCTGAAAGGTGTTAGTGTGTCCAGGAAACAGGCCTTTAACTTCTGCAACACGAGTCATCTGAGCCGTGACCAGGAGGTCCGGGCTCTGTGCTGGATGGATCCGTCGCAGAGCGAGCTACTGGTGGGTTCCGTGGACGGCAACGTGAAAACATTCAGTACTGAAAAGGGCGAGTTCACGGAGACACGGTGCTGTGGGGACCCGGCGGATGGCTGCTTCGTCGGACTGGCTGCGATCGGCGGCTCCACAGTGGTCACTTGTGCGGAAAGCGGTGTGTTGAGGGTCTGGAGGGAGGACAGCAGTGAGCCCAGCACCGAGCTGGATGCTGGGAAGAACGTGTGCAGGATGCGACAGAGCCCGATTCACCCCAACAAGGTTGCGACAGGGGGGAAGGAAAACGGACTAAAGGTGTGGGACCTGGAGATTCCGGAGAAACCCGTGTTCTCTGCCAAAAACATGCGGGACGACTGGCTGGACCTACGGCGGCCACACTGGGTCAAAGACATGGCCTTTATCCCGGACTCCGATAAATTAGTGACCTGTACAGGCTTCCACCAGGTGAGGTCACTGTGCAAAACAAGTGGAGAAAACATATGACAACCCCCTACACAATCCTTCAATTCTTTATGGTTAAAGATATGATGTGCACTGTATTATTCCTCATAAGATTAAAATATTCATCAGGCACTGTACATTGTGGTAGTACTAGAACTGGTTAGGGTCTTTCACACACCTACAGTGAGTGAGAATACATAACAGGTACATGAACATCACTGCATTTGTGTAAAAATCATCTAAAAATATAAACTCTATTGATGTCAAGCATTTTACAACTTACAATGGATGAGAAATAATTTTCTGAGACTTTCAAACTAAAAGCATTTCTCAATTTGTCACTGTTTATCCAGGTCCACATTTTTGACCCGTCCACACCTTGTCGTCGCCCTGTCCTTGAGGCCGAGTTTGGCGAATACCCACTCACAACTCTGTCACTGCCCTCATCTGGAAATACTGTGGTAGTGGGAAACACCCATGGTCAGATTGCCCTGTTGGACCTGAGAAAAGGTCTTGTCCGAGGCTGTCTGAAGGGGCTGTCGGGGGGCGTGAGGGGGCTGCAGTGTCACTCCTCCCAGCCAGTGGTGGCCTCCTGTGGTCTGGATCGCTTCCTCCGTATCCATAACCTGGAAGACCGTAAGGTGCAGCACAAAGTTTACCTCAAGTCCAGACTCAACTGTCTCCTACTGTCCAGCCAGGACCTGGAGATAAAAGGAGCAGAGGAGGAAGGGAGCAAGAACCAGGAGGTGAAGAAGGAGGAGGAGGATGAAGATGAAGTGTGGGATACAATGGAGAAGGTGGAAGAGGCAGGGGACAAGTTAAAAAGGAAAGTTGTGGAAATAGATGTGGAGGAGGAGGTTGAAGACAAAGATGAAGAAGCACCACAGCCCCAACAAAAGAAGAGTGAGAAGAAAATGAATAAAAAGAACAAGACTAAGTGAATCACATGATGGTGATTATTTTGTTCACCTCTATTAGATCTTAAGAAAACTAAGGTGTGCCTTCAAACAATCTAAAGACAAATACAAACACCAAGGAAAAAAAACTCTTCTGCATCTGCAGTGTTTTCTAACCTTGAATCTTTAAAACAATATTTTCACAGCTGTATTTTTAATTCAAATAACTATAAAATACTGTTGTTATTGATCTCTGGTTTTCTAGATGTCATTTCTCCACCTCATCTGTCCTAATGTTGGCTCTTTCCTGGGTTCTGTGTTATAACTTCATTGACTCGGACAGATCATTTAACACGGTGGGATTATATTTATTCAGCAGTGACAAGTTATTCATGAAAACACACACACAAGTTACATAGAATGAAATGTTTAAGTCTTGTGTCAGAAATTCACACTGCTTCAGTCTGAACTCAAACACTACACACTAAGGGCAGACAGTGAACTGGTGTGCATGTAAAACATTAATGTAAGAAAACAAAGTACAAATGCCACAGGAAACAAAGGATGGACCTCAGATCAAAGATAAATCCAGGCAGGTCCTTGAATGCATGACCCACAGGATCTGTGCCGCACAAATGGTTTGTTTAAATCAGAAATGTGAAGGCTCTCCACTGTTATTGGATGTCAGGACTCCAACCAATCAGAGCACAATTCCAACATCTTCAGGTTAAACATCCAGAAACAGACAAGTCCAGTCCACAGTGGGCTCCTCTCATGTCCCAGTGGTTTTGTGTCCTTTTTGCAGTCTGGACCAAATGTTCTCAGATACATCATGGTAGAGTTCTCAGGAACCATGGGTTAGTGTTTGTTAACGCAGAGCATGCTGCTGTCCGGCCTCCACATACAGGGGACGCTGCAGGTGCAGTCTAAATGTTTAGGTTTATGAATTCAGTGAATTGAAAAACAAAAACCCAACTTTTTAAATATATCCAACTCAGTCAAAAACATTTTCTGAAGAGGACAAGTTTATCTGGACTGAGAGAATGCAGCAGTTCTGGACAGTGAAGACAGACTGAAGAAGTGACTTTTTTTTTTTTTTTTTACAATTTTTCCACATCTACAGTTAGATTTTACAGGTTTCATTAGTTTGTTTATAATAGAAATGTTTGTTTTCCTGTAAGAGTAAATACATGTGAGCAGATTGCATGTAATCAGGTGAAAGAATAGAAGTCCTTAATCCCTGGGTGGACCCAGTCCACCTGACTACAGCAGACCGCAGGTCCATTTCTACTCACAAGGCTTTTAGAATCAACGGTTCTGGGCTCTGACCTCAAACCTGGGGAAATGAACATGAAGTTCCATTCAAGTCTCTCTTCATTGACTTGGACTTGGACCAGATGCGAAGACTTTAGTTATATAGACTCTAAATGAAGAACATTACTCAGCTGTTTTAGAATGAGTTGGCATGTTGACCTGAGAGTGGCGCTACTAAACAGTCTGATCAGACTGACATTGGATCAGCTGTAGTAGTTCATCACCCTAACAAAACAAAACTCTAACTCAAACCTGATCACACACCTCCCTGATCCAGTCGAGTTTCATATAATCAGCCTTAAACAGAGCTACATTACAACAATAATAAATAAAAGTGTTTCATGTCTATTGGACAACAGTTAACCACAGCATAAACAACAAATGAAAAGGTAAAGACAATGTAAACTTAAAGAGGCGTAAGAATAAAGAGGTTTAAACACTTATGAGTGTGTGAGGCCTCGTCACACTGAGGTGTGTTTCTGAAAACTCAGACTTCTCTGATCAGGTTTATTCAGAAGCACAGTAGGTGTGATGTCACCAAAGATTTTGAAAACAGACTCAGGCTTAAACAGTTCTGACTGGAATGTCACTCTGACCAGTTTCTCTCTGTCAGATGAACCGTCATCACATTTCTTTACAAAAAGCATGAGAATGATTTCCTGAACGGCCAAATCATTGATGAGTGGACAGGGCCTCAAACATAAAATCATCAGCAACGTCACAACCCAGCATGGTTCACTGTAACCAATGATGAAGACAAGAAGAAGAAGAGTATCTGGTCATGTTTGGGCTGCAGCCCCCCCTACAGACCAAGTTACACCTGATTCAAGAAGTTCCTCTAGAAATGTTTGAGAAGAAGTACCAAACCATGGGCACCGGGTCAGTACTGGGCCATGGATTATTTAATAACCGGGCCCAGAGAGAAGATCAGTTACATTATAATTGAAGCTTTTGATCATGAGTGTAAAATATGTTTTATTTTAGATTACCAGATTTCCTCTCAATTTCAAATGTAATGAGTCTTCTTTAAAAGGTCACAGAGGAGACTTCAGAATAAAAGAAAGTTCCATTTACGTCCTACTGGAAGAACAGTTTGGTTACCTCAGCTGATTCTCTTCCAACAAACCCTCTCTGGAGGGCGACTGCACTAAAATGTGGGGTTGGTTCAGGACATTAGGACTCATTTTAGAAACAACAATCAGGTTTTCATCAAGTGTTTTTTTTTATCAAGTGGTTGCTCAGAATTCCACTACTGATATATTCATTCATTTCATATAATTGGAATGAATTTAACTTTAAGGTAAAAAGAAAAATGCTGAGAACAGCTGGTCATTTTTCATGGTTCCAGTGTGAGAACCTAGCCTGTAATAGAGACAGCTGGGTCCACTTCTTATAAAAGTCTATGGATTCAACATAGCTGACTTTGTTGTGACTGATGTTGATGCAGAACAGCAGTTTAGAACACACATACTAGACACAAAAAATCAGTGTAATGTAACATGGATCTCTATGAGACATAAATGTGTTTGAAACTCAGTGTTAACACCTTGGGTGAGAACCAAAGTTCTCCCTCAGCATCAGTTAATTGTTAAAATAATTTTTCACCTACCTGGTTGAAAACTTAGTTTTTTTAGTAATTATCACAATAATAAGAATAATGATCAAGTCATCACATTCAGTGCTTAACCCTTCTTCATCCTCAGGAGAGATTAACAGGATGTTAATGTGACATCAAATACTAGAACATTCCTATTGAAAATACTGTATTAATAAATGTTAGACCACCACAAACACATGGTCTGCATGTTGAAATGAAACACACCCCCTGTTTCAGTCACTCTACTGTAACAACGTCCTCACTCACATTCTGTCACGCTGATGCTGAGCCTCCTCACTGTTGCTGTGCTCCTCCTGCTCCTCGTTGGGCTCTCCTTCCCTGTGGCTGAACTGCCTCCTGCTGAGTTTGTCTGGGTCATGAGAAGCCATGTCACTGAAGTCACGGAAGATGTCCTGAAACGTCTCGTCGTCACCTGAACGATCATATCCAAATGTGTTAAGGTGTCAAATGACGTCACGTTAAAGGACACTGTGCTGCTGTCACTCACCCATGGCTCCAAAAACACCTTCTGAGTCTCTCATTTCTTCATTCATCCGAGCCATCCTCAGCCTGGACCAGGAACAGACATCAGCATGACAAGAAATGTAAAAAGACACCACCATTTTCTCATTTTTTAAATATGTACGTGTGTGTGTGAGTGTGTTTAACGGAGCATGTATCCTGGTTGGTGCAGACTTCTGGACAGAAAAAAGCTCATCATATAACAAATAAATAAATAAAAACTTAACTATGTTTGTTCTGTTCATAAACAACAAATGTGATGTGATGGTGACTCACAGTGTGACAATGTCAGCATTAGCCGTTTCCACAGCAATGGCAAGAGGGTCCTGTCCTGTCTCGTCCACAGCGTACTGATTGGCTCCTCTCTTCAGCAGCAGACACACCTGCCTGCAGCAAGAAAGGGGGACTAAATGTCAGATTCAATTTAACGCAGACCACTACCACTGTCTCCTCTGTCTTTAATGTCCACTCAGACCACCACTGTCTCTGAGTGAAACATTTCCACCACTACCTCCACCATCACCATGTTTGTTACTGTCTGAGAAACTTGACAACAGCCCAGAAATTAACTCTGAACTCAGCATTGCCCCCTGGTGGATGTTCAGTTTTCCCACCATACCAAAGGTTGGATGGACTTTTCAGGTCAGTAAATCTAAAGGATCTCAAAGATCCTGGTGAGTATGTGATTACCCGGTGTGTCCAGCTGTGGCAGCAGCATGCAGCGCCCCCTGTCCTCTTAGGTCTCTGTAGTTGACGTTAGCTCCATTCTGCAGCAAGAACTCGCAGGCCAACAGTGACCCCTGCAGGTCACATGAAAAGCACACTAAAACAGGATCGTCTTCATGTCCATTTGTTTGAACAATCCATATGAAAAAGCACAGATCAGGGTTTTTTTGGACGTGTCTCTCCATGATTTTAATATTGTGATTGTCTTTACAGTTGTGTCTCCTCTTCCTCACCCCGACAGCAGCTGCAATCAGAGCCGTGCGTCCCCCCTCTTCACTCAAGCTACTATTGACCTCTGCCCCTTCAGCCACAGATCTTGCCATGGAAACCAGGTCTCCCACCAACGCTGCCTGATACAGTCGCAGGCCAGCATCCACTTTAGGACACCCTGAAACAAACATAAATATATATTTTATGTATTTTACAGCCACAGCAGGACTGGAGTCACTAAGTACTGTCAGATTTACCAGTTTCATGTAAACTGCTGTTCAAAGGCACAAATTTCTTCTCCACATACTTCTCCTTGATCCACGTCTCTTTTCCTGCTCTGGAATAACCAAGAAAGAAGAAAGTGTGATCAGCATGTTGGTTTATTAGCATCAGATTGTAGTGAATACATAATAACAAACCTTTGTTAAAGAACGCATCCTTGGGGTCAAATAAATTGAAGTGCCAACTATAAAACCATAACATGACTAAAATCACCCTTTAAATTAATAATGACCATTTATGAGGCGTATGCCAGGAACTGATGTGCATTGGCCAAACTCAAATATGAATGATTAGTGCAGATGAACAGTACCGTGGGCTGTCAGCTGTGGGTTTGACTCCTCCTTCCTCTGAGCAGCGAGCCTCATAGATTCCGTTCATGACATCATTGCCCAGAACACACAGAAGCTATGGGTGAGAAGAAGTCCTGCAGATAAGTACTGGCAAACACTATACAGAGGGTTGTGTGTGTGTGTTACCTTCAGCTGTTCAGACTCCCAGGAGTCCAGGGTGAGAGATCTCACCTTGGACAGGTGAACACCCAAACTTCTGCAAACATGATGATATCACACATCCACAAAGACTTTGTTGGAGTAAAACCAAACTGGAAAATCACCCGTAAAACCAAAACTACAGAATTTCTGTTGTAACCTGTGAATTCCTGAGCACTCGATGCACATGGTGATTCCCAGGTTGACTGAAGCCCAGCGAGGATCCTCCTCACCACAGTCACAGCATCGTTGGTTCCCGTGGCCCTTTAAAGCCACACCCAGGGCTGCGGGCTTCTGAGGGGGCGGGGCAGGCGTGTTGTCCTCAACACACTGGAGGGATGAAGACTCTTTGGGCTACAGACAAGACAAGAGCGAAACATGGAGACCCTTTATTAAACCAGTAACTACTTGGATGAGAAGAAGGTAGGAGGTGGCAGGTACAACCACCTGTGGGAGAAGAGGGGAGACTCCTCTCTCTCTGTAGGCCAGGTCAATGCTGCCCTGTACTGCTGTTAGCCACGCCTGCTTCAGCTGCTCTGAGTCGGCCTGCAGAGCACAGCACCTGACGTAAACGAGACAAACACACTTCATTAAGAAAGGTTGCTCCAACTGTACTGTATATGTAGTGTGTGTGCAATGACCTATAACACTGACCGTTCTTCAAATGCAGATTAATTGGGGAATTATAAAAATGTTCAAATTTATCTTTAGAAATTCTAAATTTGAGTTATTTGGTCAATGTTTTTGCAATATTTAATTTTTAATGTTTATTTGCGATTTTTTTTTTTTTTCATATATATCTTATTTTCTATCTTACTCTGTCTTATCTTTGGTATTTTTACATTTCATACATCTCCAACTTTCTTACAGAAGCAGCCGTGACACCGTTGCCCAGAGTAAACCAACAGTATCTTATTAAAACTGCTAAAATGTATAAAGAGTGAGTCTTACTTCTGAACAGAGAGCAGCTCAAAGCAGAACCGCCGGTCAATGTGATCCAGTGATTTGACAGCACAGAGCCTGAGATCATCAAACAGAACCATGGAGTCTTCCTGCAGCAGAACAGTTTACCATCATAGAACAGTTATAACATACGATCATCATATAAATATGCAGCTTCAACCACAGCGTCATTCATATTATCTAATACATGATATTACAGCGGGGTCAATCCCAGCTGTGGCTGGGCGTGAGTGTGGAGAGTTTGCCTTACCTTGTGTGATTTTCTGTAAATGAGCTGATTTTGTCTGATGGAGAACCAGCATCTGAAACACAGGTCAGGACTGATCATCAACTACTGTTCAGATATGAAAGTCATGAATATTGTTATATAAAGTGCCGTGGAGCCACCCCTCACTGTGACGTCAGTAAAAACTGGTCTCTACCTCTTCCAGGTTTTGGTTTTCCTTCTGGAACGTTTAAACAGGTAACCCTGGATGACATCATCACTGCTGGGACATGGGCTGACCATCTGCTCACCTGAAGCATCCTGAAACACACAGTTAGTCATGGCTCAAAAACACTATTTTGTACAATTTTAGCAGCAATTCAAACGATGACAATCATCAGCTCATTACTCTTTGCTGCACTAGCAGGTGTTGGTTCTCCAGGCCTTTTCTTTTGGATGCACAGAAGACAGAGAGCTGGGACAGCTATAGACAGGAGGACAAACAAAGAACAGGACATTATACTCTAATGAGAAAAAATAGGGGACAGACGAGTGAATAAATGACTGAGTGTGGTCAGAGGTCAGGACCTGTGTTGCCATGTTCTTCATTGTGGGCTCTAAGTCTCTGAAAAGGTCAAAACCTTGATGGAAGAAAGTGAAGTGGGCCTGGACAAAGGAGAAGACCTGAGACACACAGAGACATGTACACGTTTTACACGTGTTATTTTGTTCTTGTTTTTATATATAAACATAGATCTTATCTTCTAACACATGAAAAACAAACTGACTGAGTTCAAGATA